TTTTTAATGTTCTGTGATAATTTATGATTTTAATGCTTTCTTGTTTTGTTCAGCACTTTGAATTGCCTTGTGTATGAATTGTGCTATATAAATAAACTTGCCTTGCCTTGCCTTGCCATGCAAGTGACTTTAAGTGACTTATTGTACAGTCTGACAGCAGTGGGGATAAAGGCCCAACGATAGCGCACCTTCTTGCACTGGGGGTGTCTTCCACTGAAGGAGCTCCTCAGCTCCTCTATAGTCCTGTGCAGTGGGTGGGAGGTGTTGTCCATGATGGAGGTGACTTTGACCTCCATCATGGACAACACCCACAGGACTGTAGTACGATTCCATGGTTAGTGAAATAAAACATCCTAATTTGGAACAATAAATAGATTGGCTGTAATATTGCACAGTATGCCATATAACCTAGGGGACATTTACAAGTCAGGCTTGTGGTGAGGCAAGCCTGATCTCAGCCACTTTTTAATTAAGTGCTCTAAGTTTAATAAAGATGTTCTGTTTATTTATTCATTACGGGCTATGACATATGCACTTCAAGACTTTATTGGAGTATGCTATTTTTTTATGTAAATTAAGATAATGTAGTGTCTGAATGCAAGTATCTGTACACTAATATATAAAAGAAATAACTTCAGTACTTAGCTTTTATATAATCTGTGATAGTATATATAAATACTAAGCTAAAGCCCTTGGGAACACTAATCAGCACTCATATCTTAAATAACCTACCCATTAATCCAATATAGGACATCACATTATATATTCAACACTTGGGGACTGCGTAATACGACGACATAATGAATCCTCTGGCACCCCTCCGGGAACAACTAGAATGGTGTGTTCCTGCTTTCCCTGGGCCACGCGGGCTAGTTCACTAATGAGCCCACGGGGGAGCCCCCTCTGTCTGTGTGTTTAATAGACTGTAGCCCCGCCAGGAACTACACAGAGTTGGGAGAGAGGAGAGAGGCAGCAATAGATGGGGGTGGGGTATGAGCCTTAAATGTGGTGGTGAGAAACAAGTAGCTCATGCAAGAAACTTAGTCATTACGATGCAAGAGAGAGGGGAAAGCAGGAGACAGAAGAAGTTATTCTCATTATAATTTCTCCCAGTATGAGAAACAAGTTCATCCCAGAAACACACCCATACTATATTGTTGCTGTCCTACTTAAACCACAGAGCTCCAGAAAGTCAATGGGAAAATGGGAATTGACTGATTTTCTACTATGGTTACAACTGCCTCATAAAGATTTAGGTCACATTCATTTTGGAGAAATATTTCACAAGTGTTCCAAAATATAATATCCACAGTTCAGAAAGTTTTTGCTTGTCCACAACAATGTATCATCTGCACTCTATACGTTTAAGCTAGGTAACAATCTTGGTTCTTCAGTAAAATCATGGGATTTAGGACTCCACTGACAAAGCCGAAGGAGTCTGGTTATTAAAAGTAACTGTGGGATCACAATGTTGATATATGGTGCGTAGTACAGTAGACACAGACCATAAAGGGGAATAGATAGAAAGATAACTGTGACAGCTAACAGTTTTCAAATCATTGATTTAAAAAATATTGTAATGAATAATGCAATCAATTTTCACTACTGTACAGTGCACTATCTCCTGTCGATTGATCTGAAAGGGATTTGGTATGCTTGCTTACAATGGGGAATGTAAGCATTCTCATTGAGCCTGAACAGTACTTTTGGCTTTCAAAGTAAGTACAAGCAAGTATAATGAATAAACGGATTTCTACAATTCAGAGATTAGTTGAGGTGCATCCCTTTTAACCCCAGGGCTAAGAGCTGGAAAAACCTGTCCTGAGATGAGAGGAGTTAAAAGTCTTTGTAGTAATTCATGAATGAAAGAGGGGATATGCACTGGTCTGATGTGGTTAGTGTGTATAATTAAAGTTCACAGAAGTTAGAACACCTGGATGTGAATGAGCAGACCCACTGACACCGTTCATCACTCTCACTGCACTTCCCTGATTTTAGTTGCAGACAGAATGGCCGGAAGCAGACAGGGACTCAAACAGGGCAGGTAAGCAGAGGAAATAAAAGAGGTAAAATTAGTTAGGATGTAAATAATTACTGTTCATTGGTAGATTATTACCATTGTAAATTGTGAAATGTGTCTTTCTCCCCTCATTGCAATTGAATGAATTGGAATTGTGATTATTTGATCTATTACAAATAAAAATGTTTAGTGTCTGTGGATCCCACTATAGTCAGTCTGAGCGATCATACTTGCTTGTTGCTTCCTGATCTTGGCAAGTTGGGCCTGGTTAGTACTTGTGACACCAGGTGCCACAGTGGGGCAGCCGTGAAAACTATTGTTGTGTCCTGAGACAAGACACTTCCCCCATTGCCTTTTATACCTCTAGTAATATCAAGATACTTACTGTATATCAAAACAAAAAGAAAACTCACTCATGCTACAGAGGAAGGCTTCTACACAAGTAACAAAGTTTATATTGGTCAAAAGGTCAGGCCCATGTGCATGTGTAACTAGACTAGACTAGACTAACTACTATTTAAATATTGTGCCTCAACTTTGTTTGAAAAAAAATCCAGATTCATTTCCCCCCAGATTATAGCATGTTGAGAGGATTTGATAAGGTGCACTAAATAGGCATAAGGCGTAGTGCATAAGGCATACATTATTATTTAAATAAACACATAATTTTGACTCTCTTTTTCTTGCAATGTAAATTAAACCATTTAAACGATTTAACCAACTTAGAAGAATAGGCATTTCATGAATTCATTTTACTTGTTTATATAACTTTGTGTGGACTTGATATGTACTGAAGTAAGCTAAGAGACACGAGGACTCACAGAGCCTCTGTCTTCCTCTTCCAGGAAAGTCATTTATAAGTGACTGAATTAGACTGTTTTGTGCGTAAATGTGTCTGTGCATGTGGCTGAGAAGAGAGGGGATTTCACCTCCAGGCCGCTGGCTCCTCTCACTGAATTATAGTTCAACTTCACCCCCAGCTGCACACGCACACACACAGTTTTCATCATAGACAGCAGAAGCATCATCGTGTTCAGCCTCATAAATAATTTCCTGGAGCTCAATTCTGGCCTGGAAACCTGCCTTTCACTCCATGCCATCCGCTCGGCCCTCTCCATGCACCACTCGGGCTATGTCTGTCTCTGCCATCCCCTGTGCTGCCACACACCTGCTCTTCTCTGCTCCTCTGTCACTCACACCAATCCCCAAAAACCATCACTGCACATCCTTCTTCATATCTTTGGTCTGTGCCCCCTCAGCTGACCCCATCCTGTTGTACAACAGTGTCTAGGCTTCTCTCTGGTGGTTAACTTGTAAATCAGGAAAACTCTCAACAGCAGTAGAGGGGGTTGGGGTGAACCTGTAGGTCAAAAAACGCATCAAAACCACACTGCCTGGAGCGTAATAGACAGGGTCTATCTCAATACTGTCATTCCGTAAACAATGTGTGGCACTTGATTTACATTTAGCACAAAGCTAGACAAATCATCCCCTTATGTCAACACAGTGAAACGCAGCATAAAAAATGCATCAGTGAATATGTAACCACCAGAGAGAAATCAATACCAATGCAACTGGACATTAACTAATGCTGAAAATGTTTAGTATTATTTATGCTTGCGACACTTGGAAAACAGGAAATGTAAAAAAAAAAACTATTATTGAGTTGCAAGGATGTAATTGAAACATTGAGGTAAATACAGCAGCTATTCTTATTGGAAATTGCAACAGTAAAAGCAGTAATAATAAACTGCATGAAAATAACAAATAATAATGAAGAATTACTATTAATTAATTTCGGACTCTTTGGGCAACATTGTAAGAGAGTTAGGTAATGTACTTATGAATGGGAGACAAACGCCTCTAAAGATAGGGGCACAGGGAGCAGTGGGACAGGAGGCAGAGGAGGGAGAGAAGTTGGGTTGAAGATGAGTGTCTGGTCCCTAAGGCTATATTGTGCGTGTGTCCGCGTGCATGCGTGCGTGTGTGCCTTTCCGTCAGTGCACTCTCACAGCTCAATAATGATAAATAAGTCAACCTCCCCTCTCCTCTCCACAACCCCTCTCCTGTCACACACCCTGCTCACCCCCCACCACACTCCCAGTGGTAATGAAGCAACAGTAGGTACTAGCTGACAACTGTGCAGACCAGTTTCATCTATATTCATTCGGCTATAGTGGGGCCCCACTCTGGGACCCCGTCTACCTCCCAGACACACCAAACATCCATCCAGTGTTTTTTTGTCTGTTTACTGTCCATCTCACGGTCCATAAAATCTGTCTGCAATAGTTATGGGATTATTGCATTATTTATCTATTGGCCATTGAGAACCTTGTGAGCTACATTGGTCATCATGAGTACTGTCACATACTTTCGTTATGGAATGGACAATCATTTTGTAATTACAGATTGTAGCTATGCATTCCTGCAGTAAACAGGACTGGCAATGTTCATTAGTCTAATAAGAAGCAGTTTATGTTGGCTAATAAAAAATAAAAAAAAACAACCTCAACCAAGTACTTGTGGCTATTTCATTTGAAATAAATAATAATTACATAGGGAAATTGTTCTAAACAAAAATGAGCATTGGAGAGAGATGCCCGGGCGCCTGTGCTGTACCTACAGTAAGTGCACGTCTGGAGGGTCCTAATTGCTGGGGTCAGGCTGCTGAGCACTAAAGGGCTGTGTTTGATGCAGGTAAGAGAGAGTATGCGTGCGTGTGTGTGACTGCTCTGCATGCCCTTGACTTGCAGCTGGCAAACAATGCTTTAGGCCCCCACAGCTGCCTCATCATTACCGTTCATAGGGATCCCCCGCCACACTCTCTCTCACTCACATACACACCCACACACACGCGCGCACACACACACACACACACACACACACACACACATACACACACACACACACACTCACGCACGCACAGTGAGAGAGACTTAGTCACTGCTACACAAAAACAGACATACACAGAGACACTCACTCCTTCCCGCAGGCTCCTCATTAAGCTGGTGTAGGCGGCAGCGGGAACGAACCACAGTCCCTCTGGGGAGCCTCTCTTCTCCTGCTGATAGAGAGACATGGAAAGGCAGGGATAGGGGTGAGAGCGGGAAGAGGACACAGGGGGGCAGGGGCAGTGGAGGTACAGAGCAGGAGGCAACAGCAGCCAGAGCATGGACCAGATCCAAGAGCACTGATAAGGGAACCAAATGGCCCAGGAAAGGATTTGGAGTAGTGAACAAGAGGAGTTATGGAGTTTTAATTACTTGATTACCATCTCAGTTATACAAGACACACTGTATAATAAGATGCCTTATCTTCATGTGAAAAGACAGGGACTGGTAATTATAGTCTACAGGGATAAAAGTTCTACACTATTGTGTACGGGCATCCATGACCGCTCATTTACTTGGAATGGTCAGATTCTAGGTTATATGCATAAACTATCAAACCAATAGTTAAGAAAAACAGAATAATTGAAAATAAAACTTCTACTATACAAATCAAAGGACTTTGGCGCTTTTTGAGAAGTGGTTTGTTAAATGCTTTTTGCAATACATTTGTTATTGTTTTGCCTGAAATGTTGCCCATTTTGGATGAAAATTTGTAGTGGTAAAACAACAAATGTTTTTACATTTAAGACAAGTGGCTCCATAGATATAACTTGTACAAATAACTCCAAGTCACATGCTTGTCTCCGATGTAAAGGGAAAGTTTAATGACAAATTGCATACATATCCAGTATAAACATCAACATTTTGATGAACCCAGGTAAAAAGTGAGCTGCCACCAGGACAGTAGAGGAGGATTACCTCTTTTAGTAATAACAAAACCAACTTTTTCCAATTGCCAACAATTGTTATGAAACATGCTCCGCTTCATTGCTGAAGTGCAAAGCTTTAGGCTATACCTAACCTTGAGGACAAAGATAGCACTGGAGGCTATAGCTAATCGTTGTCATTGACTTCTGCAGAAGAGGCAAAGCAGATGATTTTTACCTGGGGACAATTAAAGGACACATCCACACAATAGCTACAGTGGGGCAAAAAAGTATTTAGTCAGCCACCGATTGTGCAAGTTCTCCCACTTAAAATAATGACAGAGGTCTGTAATTTTCATCATAGGTACACTTCAACTGTAAGAGACAGAATGTGAAAAAAAAAATCCAGGAATTCACATTGTAGTATTTTTAAAGAATTTATTTGTAAATTATGGTGGAAAATAAGTATTTGGTCACTTCAAACAAGGAAGATCTCTGGCTCTCACAAACCTGTAACTTCTTCTTTAAGAAGCTCTTCTGTCCTCCACTCGTTACCTGTATTAATGGAACCTGCTTGAACTGGTTATCTGTATAAAAGACACCTGTGCACAGCCTCAAAAAGTCAGACTCCAAACTCCACTATGGCCAAGACCAAAGAGCTGTCGAAGGACACCAGGAAAAGAATTGTAGACCTGCACCAGACTGGGAAGAGTGAATCTACAATAGGCAAGCAGCTTGGTGTGAACAAATCAACTGTGGGAGCAATTATCAGAAAATGGAAGACATACAAGATCACTGATGATCTCCCTCAATCTGGGGCTCCACGCAAGATCTCATCCCGTGGGGTCAAAATGATCATGAGAACGGTGATCAAAAATCCCAGAACCACACGGGGGGACCTGGTGAATGACCTGCTGAGAGCTGGGACCAAAGTAACAAAGGTGACCATCAGTAACACACTACGACGACAGGGAATCAAATCCTGCAGTGCCAGACGTGTGCCCCTGCTGAGGCCAGTACATGTCCAGGCCCGTCTAAAGTTTGCCAGAGAGCACATGGATGATACGAGCATAGGATTGGGAGAATGTCATGTGGTCAGATGAAACCAAAGTGGAACTGTTTGGTATAAACTCAACTCGTCGTGTTTGGAGGAAGAAGAATACTGAGTTGCATCCCAAGAACACCATACCTACTGTGAAGCATGGGGGTGGAAATGTCATGCTTTGGGGCTGTTTTTCTGCTAAGGGGACAGGCCGACTGATCCGTGTTAAGGAAAGAATGAATGGGGCCATGTATCGTTAAAATTTGTGCCAAAACCTCCTTCCATCAGTGAGAGCTTTGAAGATGATACGTGGCTGGGTCCTCCAGCATGACAATGATCCCAAACACACCGCCTGGTCAACGAAGGAGTGGCTCCGTAAGAAGCATTTGAAAGTCCTGGAGTGGCCTAGCCAGTCTCCAGACCTCAACCCCATTGAAAATCTGTGGAGGGAGTTGAAAGTCCGTATTCACTGCTCTCGAGAAGATCTGAATGGAGGAATGGGCCAAAATACCAGCTACTGTGTGTGTGCAAACCTGGTAAAGACCTATAGTAATCGTTTGACCTCTGTTATTGCCAACAAAGATTATATTACAAAGTATTGAGTTGAATGTTTGTTATTGACCAAATACTTATTTTTCACCATAATTTACAAAAAAATTCTTTGAAAATCCTACAATGTGAATTCCTGTATTTTTTTTTTAACATTCTGTCTCTACCTATGATGAAAATTACAGACATCTGTCATTATTTTAAGAGAGAGAACTTGCACAATTGGTGACTGACTAAATACTTTTTTGCCCCACTGTACAACTGGATCTTGTAACTTTGTGTGAGTTCATTAGAAAATGAGAGTTTGCTATTTTTCAAGAAAAGAGTGCAAACTATCAAGTTTTGACTTCGTACAAAAAATATTAGTATAATAATATCATGAAAATGTATTATTCAGTCACACCTAATTAGTTTTTTATTCAATACAATTCATTACAAGGATAAAAAGGCCCCATGGTGTCATGAGCAGCTGTGCTATCTGCTACAGATTGATGTTTGAAGGTTATCCATCAGCCTTGTAAATAACAACACTAAATTAGATGCATGAAAAATAGGGGTGAAGATCTAGTCTTAATCTTGTGTGATTTTTCAGGATTAGAGTAGATTAGTGTTTAAAAATTCTATCATCACTGGAGTGAATTCAATTATTAATCATTCTAGTCAATGCCTTTCAAATGGAAAGGGGGGCTGTTAAAATAACATCTATTTTACAGTTGTGGTCAAAGTGTATTCTCATTATTTGTAAGACTGATCCAATTATACACAGACTAATGATCTTGATGATGTCACTCTTCAAGACCGTTAGTCTGCTTCGATGGTACCTGTGAAGCGATGAGGTAGAGGAACTCCCCGAGAGGCGGCAGCAGGAAGTGCTTGACTTTGCTGTTTCGTAAGTTTTCCCTGAGCAGGTCTGTCAGTGTCGTTACCACCTGCGACGACAGAGGGACCATCTCAGTAAACAAGCTTTATGCAAATTAAAATCACTGTAATGAAAAAACCTTGGGCAGACGATATGCAAGTTTGACAACTTTGTCAAAACTCATTGCAGTAAAACCACACTGCTTTGAGACAGCAGTTTGAGTTGAGCCAGGAGACACACAAACACCTTGGCACCTGTATTCAGCGCAATAAGTATATGCACAAACAACTTGGTTCGCTAAATCATGCAATCTGATGCAGTTGTAATGCACGCTCCCCACATAGACTTAAGTGTATGCAGACAGCCTTCCTGCCTGGCTGCTTCCTGGCATTAGCATTACTGCCAGCTTCCACCCTCTGTGATCCAATGCGAGTTTTCACACTACTCTCCTCTCTCTCTCTCTCTCTCTCTCTCCAGGCTCAAACTTGTTTTTGCATACAATTTATTTCTGCAGATATTGTTTCAAACTAAACCTAAATATACATGTATTAACTTGGCCAATTAAATGACCAGTTAATACATGTATCAACTGTACCAATTTAAATCCCTGTCATCACCCTTGCATAATATTTGTGATGTATTTTCTCTGTAATGCTCATTGTGTAGTCACTGTACAACATTTTTCCGTAGCAAAAATTATTTATTTCTGCCATGATATCAAAACATAGACACAAACTGCTGCTCCGCTCACCCACTCTGCTGTCACTCTTCCTCGCTCTATCACCCAGAGCTAAATGCACTAATAACATGAATGGCTGAGTGGTTTGTTGAGATTCTGGGATGTGTTTGAAAACCAGTCACGCAGCTTCTATCAGGAAGAAAGTGCTGAAAGGCACCGCTGTGCAACGAGCCGCAGTGAAAACCTCAGTATCAACACACACAGACACAAAATTACTTTCCTCGATAAACACATAATTTTAACAATAGATCAATTATAACTAAGCCTAGTAAAAACAACATAGTATTGGGCAGAAAATTGTCAAAAGCAACGGACTCTAAAAATATAAAATACACTGTTAGAACCCTTTCATAGGGAATCAAGGGTCAGCACACAACATAGGAATTGATCCATCCATCCATCCATTTCTGGGTCGGGGGGTGGCGGCAATTAGAGATGCCACCCAAGTCACATAGCACCAGCCCCTCACTGATCCTCCTGCAGGTGGTGAGTCCACAGGAGGATGGCTGCTCTGTAAGTGTGAGCATAGCCTTGATCTTTCAGCGGGGGCTTCGGGCAAAGTGGGGTTAAGTGTCTTCCCCAAGGACACAACAACAGCAGACATCAGTGGGAGTCGGTGGAGAAGGCGTTGAGGTGGGTTCGAACCCACAACCTTCAGGCCTAAAGGCCAATGCTCTACCAACTGAGCTACTGTCGCCCATAGGGAATCGATGAATAGATTAAATCACAGACATAGACAACATATTTTTTTCCCTTTGAAGTTAATTTTCAGACTGGCCTCTTCACACAGTGGTCCATAAGACTGATTTAATCATTTATAGATTTATAAACAAGAACATTCTAATTTTACTCAAGGTGCTTTATTCACTATTTGTATTCAGTATTCAGCGCCTCAGTTTCAGTAATGTATTTCAGCTTTTACTCATTACATCACATCATTAAAAGGTCTGAGGTTTACATAAGTGGACTGTGCCTTTAAACCTTAAAACCTGCCTTTTCTTAAAATGATGTCATCATGGCTCTAGGAAAACAAGGCACAGGTGTAAGAGAGGCCATCACATCCCTGACGTCAATCTCATTGAATATTTGTGAGCAGAGCTGAAAAAGCGGGTAGAGGCATGAGGACCAACAAACCTGACTCTAACACTTTTGCCGAGAGGAGTGGCCCAAAGTTCCACCAAAGGAACTGTTAGAAATTCTATCCAGATGTTTGGCCCAAGATAAAAAGGCAATTCTACCAAACTTCTGCCCTCTCTGATTATGTGGTAAATTATGATAAATAAATATTCATTTATAAAGCATGTTTAAAAAGCGCCATGGCATATTAGAATCCTGTACAGAAAAGTGAGAAAGAAAAACATACTTGCTACTTGTTACTGTGTTATATTACACCTATTACAAAATTAAAATAATGTATTTATCTTCCTGACTCAGCACAGAATGTTTTGGATAAAATATCTGAAAATTTGAAAAAATTATTCATGTAAACGTGTGACTTCAACTGTACATGCAAACCAGGTGAACTGATTTAAACATGTATGAATGCCTCTCACTTTTTAAGGGTCCAAAAGAATTGTTTGGCTGTTCTCTGGCCAGTTGTGATTCCCTCATTATCCCTCGTACCATGATCAGATAAATGGAGTGGTTTTTTAAGTGTGCTACTTGTATTTGATATCAGTTCCTGTTAACTCTCAGTATTATCCACAGACCTGTCGCTATCAGGGAAACAAACAATCGCTAATCTGAAAATCAATACAAAGTCATCAGAGAGATGACAAAACATTTTGGTGGGGCCAAAGAAACAGTTTGGAACATATTTTAAAAGAAAGATCTCACAGTGAGCTCAGGAACACCAAAAGAAAGGATAAACACAGTGGTGATGATGCAATATATCTTTAGCTGGTGAAGAACATCCTTTCACATCTATTGTCCAGATCAAGACCACTCTTTCAGGCATGGGTTCCCAAACTTTTCAGACTAGGACCTTTAAAATAGGCATTAAACCGCAATCTCCACAGATACAAATGAATATACAGTAGTAATAATTGAAGGGTGAAAACATGCTGCATTCTTTTCAGTGTTGTTTGGTAAAAGATTTGGACCCTTGTCTAGGTCTAATTAAAAGGACAGGACACTCAACATTCTACAACATTTATGGACATTTATCAACATTTGTGGACATTGGTCATCTGCCCCTTATGGAACAATGGCTTGATGTGTTTTTGTTTTGTTTTTTTTACTCATTGCATGTCTTGTATTTAAACGGTTTGATTCTCTGATCTGTGTTGTCAAAGTTTTGTTACGTCCTCTGAGATAACTACTGTTGTGATTTAGGGCTATACAATAAGCAAGTAAGTAAGTAAGTAATCTTTATTTATATACCGCCTTTCACAGACCAGAGTCACAAAGCGGTTTACAATTGTTATTTTTGGGCACTTGTCCTCTCACTCCACACAGAGATGGGAGCGGGGTCGCCGAACAGGAGGCGCATGCCAGACCTATTGTACATATTTTTTGAATTGTTTTTCATTGTGCTGTTAGATACGTCCTGCACCCGCCACATTAGGAACCACTACTCTGGGAGTTCGGGAGAGAATACTGCACTAGAGTGAATTCAGACAGTTTGCCACAAGATGTAAACTACTGATGGTGAGCTGCAATAACCGAATTGTTGTCAATGTCCATGACTGATACTTGACCGTAAAGGTCCTAAGAATTTACCTTTAAAATGAACATTTGGTAACAGAAATTTTGTTATGGCATTCAGTGTGTGCATCAGAGCAAAGTACAATATTTACTTCCTTTCTAACCCATGTTTAATAATCATATGTTGACTGCTCGGATTATATAAATGTTTCTATGAGAACAAAAAGCAAAGGAAAGGACAGTTGGAGAAAGTTAGGCACAGCAGAGCCAGGTGTTTGTGTGCGTCTCGATGGTTGAGTGAACGAGTGAAGCATATAGCAGTTACCATAGCGACTAAGCCCAGCCCTGACACTCCAATCAGTGGGACTGCAGCAGGAGCCCCCCTGCTGAGCGGCGCACACACGGCTGCACCAAACAGCTTTGTGAAGACATCATCTCGGCTGTTTATTCTGCAAGCCCAAAACTCATTCCCTTTTTCAACTAGCATGAGACTTAAACCTAAACATTTGACTCAAAAAGAGCAAAAGTTCCTGAAATATCCCAGCTCTGGCCATGTGCAAAAAGGAGATTCATATAAAGATCACAACAGCGGATTTTCACCCGAGTATACCATTAGTGAAAGTATACAAAAAACTGCACTTATTAAATCCAATTGACAGGATCCCTGCTGAGCGCACAAACAAATCTGTCCCAGAAATAGCCTACGCACGCCCTACGTCAAGTGAGTTTCTAAACACGCTAACAACTATCAACATTTTGGCATTATGTGCCAAAAGGGAAAACACAGACATTAGCGAATTTGTCAACTCCTTTTAATCAGGGAGTTGTTTTAATTTATTTTTTTAAATCAACGGAAACACAGTGCCTTCACTGAAATTAAGGACAATAGATAAAAATGAGATAATCAAAAAAGCTACTTGATTTCAGAAAAGACTGGGAGGTCAAACAGAAACAAATGGACAGCACTTAGTTTAATTACTACAATACTATTTTGATGTTAAATTTTATCTGAGAAGTACAATACATTCCATATTATTGATAAACGCAAACAATAGTAAATAAATAAATACTATAATTCATATAATGGGTTTATAAAAGTAGCTAAACAGAACAGTATTGTGATTTAAGCTTCTAAGATTGTATTTTCAAAAATAAAATAGTTCTGTTAGTTACTTGCTAATCCTCGCTTAAGTGTTTACTGCCCCCTGCTGGTCACCTTTTTGATTTGAATACTCTAAAGCAGGGGTGTCAAACTCATTTTGGTCCAGGGGCCAAATACAACCTAATTGGATCTCAACTGGGCCGGACCAGAAGATGCTCTACAAAAATACCCAAAAATGGTACAAAGTCCAACTTTCTGTGCACATAAACACATTTATTTAAAACTTCCTTTAAAACACTGTCCTTTAATACTCACCCAGTAACTGTAAATCTGTTACAAACTTAAATGTAACAGTGAGTTTTTTATAGTGCAAATAATGTACTATATTTACAATATCCATCCATCCATCCATTTTCTTCCGCTTTATCCGTTGCCGGGTCGCGGGGGCAGCAGTCTAAGCAGAGACGCCCAGACTTCCCTATCCACACACACCTCCTCCAGCTCGTCCGGGGGGACCCCAAGGCGTTCCCAGGCCAGCTGAGAGACATAGTCTCTCCAGCGTGTCCTGGGTCTTCCCCGGGGCCTCCTCCCGGTGGGACGTGCCCGGAACACCTCCCCAGGAAGGCGTCCAGGAGGCATCCTGAACAGATGCCCGAGCCACCTCAACTGGTTCCTCTCGACGTGGAGTAGCAGCGGCTCTACTCCGAGCTCCTCCCGTGTGACTGAGCTCCTCACCCTGTCTCTAAGGGAGCGCCCAGCCACTCTGCGGAGGAAGCTCATTTCGACCGCTTGTATCCGCGATCTCGTTCTTTCGGTCATTACCCACAGCTCATGACCATAGGTGAGGGAGGGAACGAAGATTGACCGGTAAATCGAGAGCTTCGCCTTTCGGCTCAGCTCCCTCTTTACCACAACGGTCCGATACAGCGACCGCATCACTGCGCACGCTGCACCGATCCGCCTGTCAATCTCACGCTCCATCCTTCCCTCACTCGTGAACAAGACCCCGAGATACTTGAACTCCTCCACTTGAGGAAGGACCTCTCCACCCACCTGGAGAGGGCAAGGCACCTTTTTCCGGTCGAGCACCATGGCCTCAGATTTGGAGGTGCTGATTCTCATCCCAGCCGCTTCGCACTCGGCTGCAAACCGTCCCAGTGCATGCTGCAGGTCCTGGTTCGTTGGAGCCAACAGGACGACATCATCCGCAAAAAGTAGAGATGAAATCCTGTGGTTCCCGAACCGGACCCCCTCGGCCCCTGGCTGCGCCTAGAAATTCTGTCCATAAATACAGTGAACAGAACCGGTGACAAAGGGCAGCCTTGGCGGAGGCCAACATGCACCGGGAACAGGTCTGACTTACTGCCGGCAATGCGAACACAGCTCTGACTCCGGTCATACAGGGACCGGACGGCCCTCAGCAGAGGACCCCGGACCCCGTACTCCCGGAGGACCCCCCAAAGGACACCCCGGGGAACACGGTTGAACGCCTTCTCCAAATCCACAAAGCACATGTGGACCGGTTGGGCGAACTCCCATGAACCCTCGAGTATCCGATGGAGAGTATAGAGCTGGTCCAGTGTTCCGCGACCGGGACGAAAACCACACTGCTCCTCCTGAATCCGAGATTCGACCATCGGACGTAGCCTCCTCTCCAGTACCTTGGAGTAGACCTTACCGGGGAGGCTGAGGAGGGTGATCCCACGATAATTGGAACACACCCTCCGGTCCCCCTTCTTGTAGAGAGGGACCACCACCCCGGTCTGCCACTCCATTGGCACCGCCCCCGATCGCCACGCGATGCTGCAGAGACGTGTCAGCCAAGACAGTCCTACAACATCCAGAGACTTTAGATAGTCAGGACGGATCTCATCCACTCCCGGCGCCTTGCCACCATGGAGGCTGCCAACCACCTTGGTGACCTCGGCCAGGGAGATGGAAGTGTCCGCCCCAACATCCTCAACCTCTGCCTCCTGAACGGAGGACGTGACGGGGGGATTGAGGAGAACCTCGAAGTATTCCTTCCACCGCCCGACAATATCCTCAGTCGAGGTCAGCAGCCCTCCACCCGCACCATACACGGTGTTGGCAAAGAACTGCTTCCCCCTCCTGAGGCGCCGGACGGTTTGCCAGAACCTCTTCGAGGCCGACCGATAGTCATGCTCCATGGACTCTCCGAACTCCTCCCAGTCCCGGGTTTTTGCCTCTGCAACAGCCCGGGCCGCGGCACGTTTGGCCTGCCGGTACTGGATAGCTGCCTCAGGAGTCCCACGAACCATCATTGCTCGATAGGACTCCTTCTTCAGCCTGACGGCATCCCTTACTGCCGGTGTCCACCACCGGGTTCGGGGATTGCCGCCGGGACCAGCACCAGAGACCTTGCGACCACAGCTACGAGCCGCCGCATTGGCAATAGAGGAAGAGAACATGGTCCACTCGGACTCGATGTCCTCCTCCTCCGCCGGGACCTGGGAGAAGCTCTCCCGGAGGTGTGAGTTGAAAGTCCGTCTGACAGGGGGCTCAGCAATGCTCATTTACAATATTACATTGTAAATGGCATTTCACAATATTTATATTAATATTTGTATGTTAGCTCTGTTCTAAGGCTCATACAGAGAAAACTTGCTCAGAATGGTAAAGTAGGTAAAGCACTTTAACACTGCACCTCACCTATGGGCGACAGTGGCTCAGTTGGTAGTGCATTGGCCTTTGGGCCAGAAGGTTGTGAGTTCGAGCCCACCACGGAACCTTCTCAACTGACTTCCACTGATGTCTGTTGTCGTTATGTCCTTGGGCAAGACACTTAACCCGACATTGCCTGAAGCTCCAGCTGAAAAGTCAAGGCTGTATAGTCACTGACAGAGCAGCCATCCTCCTGTGGACTCATCAGCTGCAGGAGGATCAGTGAGGGGCTGGTGGTCAGTGAATTGGGTGCAGCTCTGACTGCCGCCCCCCTGACCCAGAAATGGATTAAGGGGAAGAAGATGGATGGATTATGATTATTATCATTTTACATAAATGAGCCGCGGGCCGTGTCAAATCTCTTGGCGGGCCGGATCCGGCCCACGGGCCGCATGAATGACACCCCTGCTCTAAAGGTTTATTATTTTATAAAAACAGATGGCTACTAATGGGATTAAATACAACTAAATATATTATCAGACACCTTATAGACACCTATAGAGTTGCAATGTGGATAAAAAGACAATTATTATTTGGAGCTGAATATCAATTTGATGTTTTGAGTAGGTATTTTTCACTTACTGTCGATTCAAATTTGGCAGTAATCTCATGTCCATGTTATGTGGAACAAACCTGACGTATCAAGTAGATCTTCTCTTAGTAGAGGTTAAAGTGGTTTAGTTTAAAGTTCAAAAGTATTAACATGCTTCGTTTAATGTGTATTGTCATTGTTTTGTTACAAACTGATTGGATATCTGATTTATGTATTAAGTGCAAAATTAAAGATTAAGACAATTTTATTCTGATTTAAAAACGCTCCAGTAAATACATAAAAACAAGTGTCTATTGCCATCTGGTGGTAAACAGCCTTACTGCAGGATCACCCTGTATTAAAAGAGCAAATGTTGAACTATGTATATGGATGATAGATTAGTATCTCTGAGTTGGTATAAGGCAAACAGTACACAAGGTTACTAACCTCAGAGACAGGACTATGCTCTTCTAGATCAGTACAGTGTAATGCCAAAAGTCCTAAAACTCTAAGAACTTTGCTTTTCCTGAAAAACAAAAATAACTGGTAATTTTTTAAAACAAATTAAAGCACATTTATGGTTTATTTTACATATAAGCGTACTTACACATCCCAGTTTGGAGCGTGTCGTATCTGCTGCGTCAACAGCGGAAGCTAAATAATAATCATATTTTATTGTTATTAATATTCACTGTTGTAATAAAGGGTCCAAATTGTACAAAGTGTTTTTACCAGACTAGAATTCAAAATCTTGTTGGCAATATGTTGATGTCCAACCACACAGCACAGGTAGCAAAACAGATTCAGTTTTGCGCGAGCGGCATTTGAACAGGTTGTACCTGGAAGAGGACTTCCGACAGCAGAAGTGGACCGATTTTCTTCACAAAATGAACAGATTTGCTTGAGAAAAATGCTCCAACCATCGTCATTTAAGGACAGAAGCTTTTCCGCTGAGGAAAAACAACATAGATAAACATATGATATATATTTATTCACATAAAAATATCACACTTTATGAATGACAAAACCTGAATATGCTGGCACACAAAGACTTTTAGCATCAAACCGCACTGGTATACTCTTCAAAATCTACAAACCCATTGACAGTTAGAACTCAGGTCAGAAACATAATCAGTTGGTTTAGGTTTTTAATTCAAAATACCTTTGGGTTGTCCATGATTGATGTGATAGTAAGGTCTGACTCAGTGAAAAGAAGAACTTTTACGGTTGACATGATGTCAGAGCCAGTGGTGGGCTAAAAGGATTAGTCATTCACATTCAACTTTTGATAAACACGCAATATAAAATGTACACCCTCATATTCATAAAATACAGAAATGTCTACCTGAGGCCCTGATGACGGACAGCCTTCTGAGAGACTGATGTCATTTCTGGAATTCATACATGAACTGGAACAAGATGACGTCTGCTTTATAATTGTGCTGTGAAAAGCTAATATAAAAAAGAAATAGATTTCTTTCCTTAAAAAAAACATACCTGAGCAGAAATAAACCCTCAGTATTCTCCTCATCATCCCCACCTTCTTTTGGCCTGAAATCTGTTAGACTATCTGCTTAAGGAAAAGCAAAACCCACAGTTAATAATTTGAGCAAACAAATGCAGTGTGTCATACGCAAAGTAAATATTTACCCAAAGACATTGACTTAATTGTGTTTTTACTTTCAGCAAACTTGTCGACCTTTCTTTCACTATAGGCACTTTTCCTTGAGTGTTCATCAAGACAACTACCCGCAGTAGAAAAACTGTGAAGATTTCTTTGACAAAGCATTTTTACAAAACACGATCAACGGAAGAACAGCATGGCAAGTATATGGAACAAAATATACCGTTCACTTGTTGAACACTCAACCAAAATCTCTTCTTCAACCTCATCTGTCTCAAACTCCTCTTCATCATAACATGCCTCGTCTTCTTTTCTAGCTTTATCCCAAAACGAATGTTGCAACAACTCAGGCCAGTTCATCCTGAATATAAACAAGTACAGTATATTCACACACAGTGAAAATACCAAAAATGTTTGTTCAATGTAATGTACATTGTATTATGAAGGGCTGCAAGTATTCTGGGAATGTAACTTACCTTTTGTAAGGATCTTTAATAAGAAGGTCCTTAATAAGGCTTGACAAGTTCTCACTTGGTTCTGCAGAAGAATCTATTATCACAAAATAAGGTTACAGCTAATAACATTGTGGAAATGCCACGATAGTCACCAATACCTTGTTGTTTTAGCGGTGATGGTTCTTTGTATAAAATAATATTTGTTAGTTCATCACTTTTGTCACAATAAAATGGAGGCTTTCCTGAAATACACATGCAAATTAGTACAGATATGTTAATACAATTGTAATTGTCTGATTAGTTTTTGAATTTTGGTACCTGTGTACATGTAATGGAGAATACAGCCCAATGCCCAGAGGTCTGAACTCATGCTTGTTTCTGATCCCAGAAACACTTCAGGGGCTTTATAAAGTAACGAACCTACGAACAAAGTAGAACTACTGTTGAGTGAAGTCTGCTCTACTATAATAGATGCTTAATGTACTGTACTGTAATGTACATAAACCTTTTAATTTAGTTTGTATTATGTCAAGCTGCTCCAGCACATCTCCCTGTTCCATTATTTCAGGGGTAGAAACCAAATTCATAATATCATCCATGGTTTCCCCTCCAGCTTTAGAGTGACAGAAATTACTAAATTTTAAGATACCACTATTGTCCAGGAGAATCTAAAATACCAAAGGAATAGGAATCAGCAAATAAAAAAGGAAACATACAAGAAAATATGAATAGGACCTTGGCTGGTGTTAGGTCGGATAATATCACCCCCATTTCATGAATATAATGTAATCCTTGGACTAGACTCCATCCAAAACTTCTGACAACATCCTCTGACAGATATCCATCTTGGGTAACTATAGACTCCAAAGAGCCACCTGGAATGGAATTATAAAATGGAAATTAACATAAATACTAGCCAAAACATCAACGAGCATACATCTTTATCTATTTCTAAAGGAACGTGTTTACCTGTACAGAGCTCCACTACTAACCACAGATGATTTCTGGTTTCATACCATTCATAAAACGATACAATGTTGGGATGCTCAAAATCATGACAAAGGCGGACCTGATAAGGGGAAGAAAACATATATTACTTAATAAACACGAGGTTTGAACTAAAACCCTGTTGACAGCGTACATGGTTGATGATCTCCGGTCTTTTGACTTTGTCAGAACACACAACAGCCACATAGTTGAGACTTCCTTTCAATCTTCCTTTTTGGACAACAGACCGGCTCCCTGATCCCAGCTTCTCGTACAGAATGAAGTTTTCCATCTGGAGATTGAACAAACAAAGCAGATCAGATTCTATGTATTTGTAACGCGATGTAAAACGGCTAACGTGAAGTTGACGCTAGCGATATTTAACTACAAAAACGTAATTTATCAATGACTATGGCTATCTAATATACACAAAGATGAATCTACATTTTAATGAATTTGATAAAAGATCCACAAATTCACCAGAAAATCTTCTTTACATTTTACATCCCGCTGTTTGTTAAGGGAAAGGAAATGGGTGAGGGAACCCAGCGATAATAGGGGTCGAAAACCTAACACACAATCAAAGCAACGTATATTAAAATTGACTAAATCTCGCCAAGCTGATTTGCTAGATTGCATGTAATGTAAAATCATTACAGTTCCGTCAAGGTTAAAGAAATGCTTATGTAGATTTAACAAACTTGAAAGTGTACACATCCAATCCCCCCTCACCTGAATGGATTAGTCTGTGGTTGCTAGGTTACAAGATCGCATCAGAAAGTGCACGAGGTGTAAAGTTTCACAACTTCTACCGCGGTCTTCTGGTTTGCACAGCTTCTACAGATTGCAGTCTTTCTAGTCAAATCTGAAACACAAAACACGGATGAGAGTACACTGAGTGCTACTGATGAAGAAATTGAAGAAGGGTAAATTTAGCTACGTTTTAGGCATAGCATGATTAATATTGTAAAGGCTACTACTTCCGCTTACGTTCCTATTCAAGTTGGCTCGGAACGTAGTATTTATGGAATGCTTGTTAGTATGGTTATTTATTTTGCATAAGTAAAGTGAATTATACAACGGTTCTATTAGTTTACACAGATAAGTCAAAGATCTAAAATTAGAGGCTAGTAACGAAAGATAGTACTCGACTCTCAAAATTAAGCTACTTTATTTTGAAAAGGTCCGGATCACAGTTCTGTTGTTTAAAGCCTGTCTTTGTTTGACTGAAGCACTTCCTACGAAAGTCCACTGTGCAAGTCTCACACAGATACAACACCATGCAAACTTGCCACTCTGTCTGTGTTCCCGAGTTTAGTGTCGTTCATCTGTATTACACCACGCAGGTCTCGCAAAGGTAGAGAGTCTTCATCGACCCCCAAAAGAGAAAGTGCAACTCATCTGAACGCTCTGCCCCAGGGATTTGCACATCTTCCTCAGGGTAGGTATTTTGCCACTTATTTGAACATCGTTAACTTGCTACAATTGCATTTTAGTTCGCGAAGGGTTAACACACAATTAAAAAGTTACAGGCTACAGTAAATCTCAATGAGTTTCCATAACAAACATGTAACAGACAATTAGCCTGTAATAACCAACAACATTCAATGAACTGCATTAAACAATACAAAATATGATATTACACTTTTTAAAGTTAACATTGAAAAAGTATTCCTTTTTGGTTTTTTATACCCTTTAGATTATTATTTTTGCTACAGCTATCAACTTTTTTTGTTATTTACATTTTTGCTTTTGTTCAGCTTTTGTGGACAACCTTTTGTACTCAACGCTGTGTTGTGTTTCGTGAGAAGCTCTGATACAGTGTGACATTGCCAGGACCTCTTCCCTGTTTGCACAGCCACTCTTGAGAAATGTCAGATGAAATGTCCACAGAACTACATTTTGAGAGTTTCAGCCATAGATTGAGTAACTAATGGGAGATAGCTCTTATCTTGGTTGTTTCCTGTCAGTACATAACATACGATATAACAATGGATAGATCCATAACGTAATCCGTTATTTTAATAGATCTATTAAAATAACGGATATAACGTTTTGTGAAAACATAATGCTTTATGAATCTGTGGGAGTCACCCATACTCACTACAAAAACACAGTGTCAAATACTTTTAGCACATGTAATTTTGTGCTGTTTCTATTCCTGATAGCACAGAATCTTTTTAGAAAATGATGTATTTGCGGAAAAAAATACTTGTTGGTTGTGTGCTGCTCTCCGAGCTGAAAAGGCTAAATGACATTAGTCAGTTGATGTTTAGGAGAGTAGTAATGTGTGCCTGTTTAATTTTGATTACGTTGCCTGGGAAAGATTGCATTTGAGATAATAACAAAAAGCATTCATGAGATAGAGTTATTGATTGATAAACAATCATAGATAATTCAAACCATATGGGACCACACAGGGATGAGAGAATAAGTCTCTAAATTAAATATTTATTTGATGGTTGGTTGTGGAAAATCAAAACATAATTTTGTCAGCCATTTTGATTTGATTAAATTACTGCATACTATAGGATTACCTTTATGCGTTTGTTATTATGTAGTCTTCTAGTAAGACAGAGTTTTGGTATTATTTTCTACATTGCAAGGCAAAATTCATAAAACAAAGAATTCCCTAAAGCACGGACAAAGCACTGAGCTTCTAAAACCAGGACAATCATGTATTGTTAATCCATGTATCGAGTAGTCTGCAGCAGATGGATAAAGGCTTTTAGGGCACTATGGGGGGGAAACATCTGCCAATTTTGTGACTGCATAAGGGGATTATATGCCACAAAAAATAAAGATCCTTCCGTCATTTGTAGTTGGTCCATCAAAAGCATCAATAAAGATTTCATAAATGTAATTGTTGTTGCATATGATATTCCATTTAAGCTATAATTAACTTGCAACATAACTGTCAGACATACATAAGCCAAGAGATTTAATATCTCTCGTCTTTGTGGTAAAGACAAGAGCTGTTCAAAATGTAGGTGGAGCTCTTTCAAACTACGGCTATGTTTGTCATTATAAAATTAATGGTTCAAATGTTTATCAAACACTATTTAAAGTATGATTATTGAGAGGTACCTCTTATTGCAATAGCTTTTCCCATCATGTGGAAATGGTTTAGATATGTCCAGCTGAAACAACCAGGCTGACTCCTACTCATCTCCTTTATATATTTTGACTGTTGCTAATAGCGACAGTGCATGGACATTACAGATGTGCTGGCCTCCTCAACTATGGAAATGTGTGACCTAGTTGCTTCCCACATAAAGTTTTCTAAATTATTTAGGTCGTCCAGGGTTTGGTTAACCACATTACTAAACATACAAAAAAAGTTTAACTGTGTTACGAAAACAAATAGATTTGAGAACTTCTCCAAATTAAATCTTGAATAGTATCTGATTGGTGGTTGTGTATGTGCTGAACATGTTTTTTATAGAACTGGTTCCTGTCCAGAGCTGCAAGGCCGGACGCCCGAACATTATCTGTGTGTACATAATGTTACACTTCACTGGCCAGATGTCACAATGTCATATTCTAGTCTTTTTGTTATTGTGAGAAGAAACACTTAACCACCATATTGAGCATGACTAGATATCCTTGTATGTATGTATGTATAAAAATTGTCCACTCACCTTTGGCCCTCCGCGGGCGGTTATCCCTCTCTAAGCTCGGGTCCTCTACCAGAGGCCTGGGAGCTTGAGGGTTCTGCGCAGTATCTTTTCTGTTCCTAGCACTGCACATTTCTGGACCGAGATGTCCGAGGTTGTTCCGGGGATCCGCTGTAACCACTCATCTAGCTTCGGGGTCCCTGCCCCGAGTGCACCGATCACCACGGGCACTACTGTCACCTTTACCCTCGAGACCCTCTCCAGCTCCTCTCTGAGACCTTGGTATTTCTCAAGCTTTTCATGTTCTTTTTTCCGGATGTTACCATCGCTTGGAATTGCCACGTCCACCACCACGGCTGTCCTCTGCCCTTTGTCTACCACCACAATGTCAGGTTGGTTTGCCATTACCATTCGGTCGGTCTGTATCTGGAAGTCCCACAGGATCTTCGCACGCTCATTCTCCACCACCTTTGGAGGTGTTTCCCACTTAGACCTTGGGGTTTCCAGCCCATACTCTGCACAGATGTTTCTGTACACTATGCCAGCCACTTGGTTATGGCGTTCCATGTAGGCCTTCCCTGCCAGAATCTTGCACCCTGCAGTTATGTGTTGGATCGTCTCAGGTGCCTCTTTGCACAACCGACACCTTGGGTCTTGTCTGGTGTGGTATATCTGGGCCTCTATCGCTCTGGTGCTCAGGGCCTGCTCCTGTGCAGCCATGATGAGTGCCTCTGTGCTGTCCTGTAGGCCAGCCCTTTCTAGCCATTGGTAGGACTTCTTGAGATCAGCCACTTCTGTTATGCTCCGGTGGTACATGCCGTGTAGGGGCTTGTTCTCCCATGATGGGCTCTCCTCCAGCACCTCCTCATGTCGCCACTGCCTGAGACATTCACTGAGTACGTCATCCGTTTTGGCCTTCTCCATGATGTAGTTATGGAGTTTGGATGTTTCGTCCTGGACAGTGGCTCTCACACTCACTAGTCCTCGGCCTCCTTCTTTACGGCTTACGTACAGTCTCAGGGTGCTGGATTTGGGATGGAACCCGCCATGCATGGTAAGGAGCTTTCGAGTTTTAACATCCGTGGTCTGAATCTCTTCCTTTGGCCACCTGATTATTCCTGCAGGGTATCTGATCACTGGCAGGGCGTAGCTGTTAATTGCCCGGGCCTTGTTCTTGCCATTGAGCCGGCTTCTTAGGACCTGCCTTACTTGCTGGAGGTATTTGGCAGTTGCCGCTTTCCTCGTCACCTGTTCGAGGTTGCCATTTGCCTGTGGTATACCGAGATACTTGTAACTGTCCTCAACGTCTGCTATTGTTCCCTCTGGGAGTGAGATCCCTTCTGTGTGGACTACCTTGCCTCTCCGAGTCACCATCCTGCTACATTTCTCGAGCCCGAATGACATCCCGATGTCATGGCTGTAGATCCTGGTTGTTTGGATCAGAGAGTCGATGTCTCTCTCGCTCTTGGCGTACAGCTTGATGTCATCCATGTAGAGGAGGTGACTGATCTTTGCTCCGTTCCTGAGGCGGTATCCATAGCCAGTCTGGTCAATTACTTGGCTTAGAGGGTTGAGGCCTATGCAGAACAGTAGTGGGGACAGAGCATCACCTTGGTAGATACCACATTTGATGGTCACTTGTGCGAGCGGCTTGCCATTTGCCTCAAGGGTGGTCTTCCACATTCCCATCGAGTTTGCAACGAAGTCCCTTAGAGCCCTGTTGATATTGTACAACTTCAAGCATTCCATGATCCATGTGTGTGGCATTGAGTCGTAGGCTTTCTGGTAATCAATCCAGGCTGTGCACAGGTTGGTGTGTCGTGACCGGCAGTCTTGGGCGACTGTTCTGTCAACCAGGAGCTGGTGTTTGGCTCCTCTGGTGTCTCTACCAATGCCCTTCTGTGAATTGTTCCATATGCCCACTTATCTTAGCCGCAATGATGCCTGACATGAGCTTCCATGTTAATTGACTCACTTCTCTCCGAGCCGCCTTGATCTTAGCCTCCAACCGTCTTTTCCATGGTGGGTATTGTCCATGGCTCCCATGGTTGCTCTTATAGCCAAGCATCTCTAGGATCACCGCTGCTGAAGTGTATATCAGCTCATTGGTTTCATTGGTAGGTATTGCCCTCACTGCTGCAGTTGCAGTTGATGGGATCTCCCCTCTGACCTCGGCAACTGTGGCATCATACATGTGTTGTACCTCATCAATCTCAAGCTGTGATAGCAGTTGCCGTTTGTGGATGTTGGAGCATTGAGCTACCAGTTGTTTCGGTGTCAACTGTGACTGTGGGTTTCGAAGTAACCATTCAGCCCACATTCTCTGCATGTAACCCTCTTTGGCTAGGGTTACTTGAGTAGTAGCATTCCAACAGAGCCCTGTTATCAGATCATTGCTTATTTGTACCTACATGGTTATGAGTTAGGCAGTAGCATTAAGGGTCTTGCCCAAGGACCCACACTGTTGTTGGATGTTGGTGTCAATGTGCTCCCGGGTGGGGATTCGAACCCTGGCCTCCCAGGTCCCAGTCCTGCGCCCTACCAACTGAGCTATATATATATAACTATATATATATATATATATATAAAAAAAAAAAAATTGTCCACTCACCTTTGGCCCTTCGCGGGCGGTTATCCCTCTCTAAGCTCGGGTCCTCTACCAGAGGCCTGGGAGCTTGAGGGTTCTGCGCAGTATCTTTGCTGTTCCTAGCACTGCACATTTCTGGACCGAGATGTCCGAGGTTGTTCCAGGGATCCGCTGTAACCACTCTTCTAGCTTCGGGGTCACTGCCCCGAGTGCACCGATCACCACGGGCACTACTGTCACCTTTACCCTCCAGGCCCTCTCCAGCTCCTCTCTGAGACCTTGGTATTTCTCAAGCTTTTCATGTTCTTTTTTCCGGATGTTACCATCGCTTGGAATTGCCACGTCCACCACCACGGCTGAGACATTCACTGAGTACGTCATCCGTTTTGGCCTTCTCCATGATGTAGTTATGGAGTTTGGATGTTTCGTCCTGGACAGTGGCTCTCACACTCACTAGTCCTCGGCCTCCTTCTTTACGGCTTACGTACAGTCTCAGGGTGCTGGATTTGGGATGGAACCCGCCATGCATGGTAAGGAGCTTTCGAGTTTTAACATCCGTGGTCTGAATCTCTTCCTTTGGCCACCTGATTATTCCTGCAGGGTATCTGATCACTGGCAGGGCGTAGCTGTTAATTGCCCGGGCCTTGTTCTTGCCATTGAGCCGGCTTCTTAGGACCTGCCTTACTTGCTGGAGGTATTTGGCAGTTGCCGCTTTCCTCGTCACCTGTTCGAGGTTGCCATTTGCCTGTGGTATACCGAGATACTTGTAACTGTCCTCAACGTCTGCTATTGTTACAATACAATACAATACAATACAATACAATACAATACAATACAATACAATACAATACAATACAATACAATACAATACAATACAATACAATACAATACAATACAATACAATACAATACAATACAATACAATACAATACAATACAATACAATACAATACAATACAATACAATACAATACAATACAATACAATACAATACAATACAATACATTCTTGTATAGCCCTAGGTCACAACAGAAGTCATCTCAGAGGACTTAACAAAACCATTGAAATCACCAACACAGGTCAGAGAATCAACAGTTAAAACACATGAAGAATATAAAGCACACACAGAAAAAAATGTCCATACATGTTGTAGAATGCTAAAGTGTCCTGATCATCACCAATCCTTTCTGTTGGACACTAACTGTCCAACAAGACCCTCCTGCATCGACAAGGAAAAACTCTTAAAAACTGGTGTGGTTCCCAGTGGTTCCCAGAGGGAACAACTCTGTTGTTCCCTCTGGGAGTGAGATCCCTTCTGTGTGGACTACCTTGCCTCTCCGAGTCACCATCCTGCTACATTTCTCAAGCCCGAATGACATCCCGATGTCATGGCTGTAGATCCTGGTTGTTTGGATCAGAGAGTCGATGTCTCTCTCGCTCTTGGCGTACAGCTTGATGTCATCCATGTAGAGGAGGTGACTGATCTTTGCTCCGTTCCTGAGGCGGTATCCATAGCCAGTCTGGTCAATTACTTGGCTTAGAGGGTTGAGGCCTATGCAGAACAGTAGTGGGGACAGAGCATCTCCTTGGTAGATACCACATTTGATGGTCACTTGTGCGAGCGGCTTGCCATTTGCCTCAAGGGTGGTCTTCCACATTCCCATCGAGTTTGCAACGAAGTCCCTTAGAGCCCTGTTGATATTGTACAACTTCAAGCATTCCATGATCCATGTGTGTGGCATTGAGTCGTAGGCCTTCTGGTAATCAATCCAGGCTGTGCACAGGTTGGTGTGTCGTGACCGGCAGTCTTGGGCGACTGTTCTGTCAACCAGGAGCTGGTGTTTGGCTCCTGTGGTGTCCCTACCAATGCCCTTCTGTGCTGTGCTCATGAATTGTTCCATATGCCCACTTATCTTAGCCGCAATGATGCCTGACATGAGCTTCCATGTTGTGGAGAGACAGGTTATTGGCCGGTAGTTGGAGGGGACTGCACCCTTGACAGGGTCCTTCATGATCAGGACCGTTCGCCCTTCGGTTAGCCATTCTGGGTGAGTCCCATCTCTCAGCAGCTGGTTCATTTGTGCTGCTAGGCGCTCATGGAGTGATGTGAGTGTCCTTAGCCAGTAGGCATGGACCATATCAGGGCCAGGTGCTGTCCAGTTTTTCATACCTGAGACTCTTTCTCGGATGTCTGCCTCTGTGATGGTAACTGAGTTCTGTTCTGGGAGGTGGCTGTGCTCCTCTCTCAGGGACACCAGCCATTGTGCACTTCTGTTATGTGCTGCATCCTTCTCCCATATGTTCCTCCAGAACTGTTCAGTTTCCAGCCTCGGTGGATCTGCTCCCCTGTTGTTACCCTGCCACTGAGCGTACACCTTCGCAGGTTGTGTTGCGAACAGCCTGTTCACCCTTCTGGCTTCATTCTCTTTAGTGTACCTCTGTAGGCGGCTGGCCAGGGCTTGGAGCCTTTGTTTGGCAGTTTCGAGTGCTTCAGGTATGGTCATCTGGCTGTACTTTCTGGGTACTGGTCTTTTCATTGCACCGCTCTGGGCCTCATACACATACATATATATATATATATATGTATGTGTATATATATATATACACACACACACATATATATATATATGTATATATATATATATATATATATATATATATATATATATATATATATATATATATATATTATATTATATATATATATATATATATATATATATATATAATATATATATATATATATATATATAATATATATATATATATAATACATATATATGTATATGTATATGTATATTAAACTTACAATATCATTAAAATCACTCATCATTTCTTTGGGTTCTAGAGTGAAATTAAAGGACCCATTTAATTCTAAATGAAACAATAACAACGAATGGCAGAAATTAGCCTTTTTTCCTTCAAATTAAAGTTAACGTAATACAAAATTGTATTTTAACTGTCCTTTATCTTACATATTTAGCAGAGTAAAACAATTTTTTTATTTTTTTATCTATGACATTTCAGAAAATCTTAACATTCCATCTGGTGCCATGTTGAGGTCCAACAATCTCTTCTGTCTGTTTCAGGTCTGTGTAAGGAAGACCCTCTTGTTTGGCCAACATGCTGTTTATGGTCCGGGATGTTTGACCTCAGGGTGCCAAGCTGGCCTCCTGGACGGTGCCTCCTCTCACCTGCTCCTATGCCCTGCCCCCTCCACATGTAAACCAGCCACACAGCCCTACATGTCAGCGGAGCGGCACACCGGGGCCAGAAGAGTTTGTGAGTGAGGTGGGGCTGGAGGCCTTGCTCATCGACTGCTCCACTTCACACAGAGATGTAGAGACCATTACTGGTAAATATTGTGTTTCTATAATATAATTTGGCCAAGTTGATTCAGCACTCAAAACACAACCACACTGACCAATATGAATATTCTAATGATATCAGAGGACAAAAAGAATGAGTTAAATAACCAATTAGTTTATTTTATATTAAAAGGGTGATTTGTAAACAGCATTGTGCCTCCTGTGACAATGACAATGAAAAGACATTAAGATCTTTCTTTTTTTCTTTTTTTTTACTTGGATGGCTGACCATGCCCCAAAATGCCTAATATTTAAATGTTGGTGTGTATAATTGGTTTCAGTGCTGAGTTTAGCGCTCTATAGGGAATGCTGTGAGAAAGTCCCCGTTAGTGACCCTTTTAAGTCACTTCCTGTCAGTCTTAGCCCCAGGGACCCTCGGCTCTGAACAGGCTGTGAAAGGAAAGCTCCCTGTGGACTCTGTCACTGGCACTCATCCCACTGTGCGCCTGTCTGAGCGGCTAAACACCAATGTACGGCCTCCACTCAACACACTTTTACAAACTTCTAGTAATTTCTAATCTCGTCAGTAAACTTGTTTCCATGAAGTGCTGAAGAACATTTCCCGAAGCACAATCAAGACGTTGAAACACATTTCATAAGCTTATACTGTGGTATTAATATTTAATAACTTTAGTTTAATTTTCTTTCCATGCGAGTTAATTCAAATTGACCATAGAGTCCTGGAAATCATTTATTTTATTTTATTTTGAACACTCCTTGCCAGTGTCCTTAGTTGTTGAGTTTTTCTTTTTTTTAACTTTGCCATGTGAAAGTGTGTCCACCTTATCTATGTATAATTACATCACACTGTGTTCCTGTTGTTTATTGCATTGTTAAACTGCCCCTGAACGCCCTGAAGAAAGGAAATCTTTTAGAGCACTTTGTCAGTTCCTTTAATTCAAACAAACAGGAAAAGTTACACCCAAAAATGCCATTCTCTCAAAATATTGAACAGTAGCATGTATTCTCAGAGGCTGACAACACCAGCGTTGATTAATTTCAGCTGAATTAAACAAGGGAATATTCCTAATACATTGAAATTATTAATGAAATACTGCCATCTGCTGGTTGCTTGTTCATAAAAGCATTTTATAGACATATTTGTCCCCTTCTGAAGTACCACTATGTGCATCAGGCCTGTTTGCTAACTTGTTGAAGCTTGCTAAATGTTTTGCGCAGTGAGCAGTAGCCTTGTGATGGGTGTATCTGTGCATAATGGAATTAATCTGGAGGATGAAAGAGGACAAAAGAGTGAACTGAAAGACCATCAGGAAGTTCCTCACTGTTTGGCTAATTCTCTGTGGTTACCAGCAGCAGTGATGTAAAGGCCTGCGCTGCTTCTATGCAAACAGAAAAGAAAGAAGAAGAAAAGTAAAATAGATCAACACCTAAAGAACTTGGCACAGTTTGGTTTGTGGCTCACCGATCTGCCATATAAGACTCAAATGTTTGCATGGTATCGTTGCACAGCAATCTTTCCTCACTTGTTTGTTTTTTGTAGAGATTGTTGTTTTGATTGAACTAAAAAAATGTTTCTACCTCTACTTTCACATTCACATTGCTTTCATATCGTCTCTGGTTTCATGTAGTAGTTTGACCCTGGTTGAACTCAGTTTTATGTTTAGACATTCTTTCTCAGAAGCCGCTGTTGTGCTGCCCTTTTATCTCAGTTTCCAATCTTTTGACTCTGGCACACGTTTGCTTTCTGAAGTTGGGGTTATACAGTACATATACATTATATGGCGGAGCATGGTTAGCACTCTTTCCTCACAGCAATAAGTTTGTTTCCTCGTCACTAAAACATGTACAATGTTTTTGGTCGATAGGATTCTAGAAGTACAAAGATTTGGGTTCCACCATCTAATATAACGACAGCAGGCCTGAAAAAAAACTTTTATACGACCGAATATAGGCTAAACCACTATTTGTAATAGTGTTTTCAATGAATATGGGCCCAAACCTGGAACTAAACATTGTAAAAAATATCAACATCAAATAATTGAACTGCAGAGGAATCCATTCACCACCAGAAGGAGCTCAGGTACCACTGTTTGATAAACAGTGCCTCAAATGTTTTATTACACAATACATTAAAAAAAATTTGGTACCATTTTTAGAAATTGACACCTGAAGTAGCTACAAACTTACACATGGAGTCTGGTATCACATGACAAATAAATAATTTATAAGGACAGAACAGACAACACACAGAGACACACACTCCTAAACACAATACTCCTGCTCAAACACACTCCAATCCTACATCTCTCTCCCATCACTTGCTCTTTGCTGAGGGCATCACTCTTTTTATTTTTTTTTCCCCTTAGGGTAGAAACTTCTCTCACTGGCCAGTTGGGGATGTGCCATATTAAATATGGTTCACAAGGAGGAGTGAAATAATGAATGCTCTTTAAGGCCATGTAGCAATTGTTTTGGTGTTATTGTTGCTGAGGCCAGTGTGGATGTATGTGCGATCCCTCTTTTCCTTTGATGAAGGTCTTAGTTTTAGGAATGTACTGTGCTCGTGACTTGAATGTGTTTGTCTATATCTGTTTATGATTGTGATGTTTTCCTTTTGTCTCTGATGTGATGCTGATTCCCCAGACAAAGTTCTTTATCTCAAGACAATACATTCTTACTTTATTCTAAAGAACAGAAGGTGAGCCTCCATAGAAGAACGAGTATGGAGTGAGGAGGGCTCAATGATTATAATAAAAGTCACATCATGTGCTCTTCTGAAGACCAGATGGGTCTTCAGGGACTTTTATTATAATTAAAGTGCTTCAGCTCTTTTAATTGAGCCCTTGTCAATCCATACTCACCTTTTGTCTCTTAAATGTTCCATTTCAGTCTTTGATTCTCTTCCACGATGCTGGTTTTGACTTATTTTATAAAAACTGGAAACTATGACTGAAGTTTATTATTATTTATGAAGTGATAGGATAAATCTGTTGTTTAAGTTTCAGAATTAAGTGATTTTGGTTTCAAGTAAAACAGAATGACACACTGTTCCTCCTAAAAGGTTGTTTGTACAAGAACAAGTTATTCACCAGGCACAGTGTGCGCTCCAGAGTCCTGCTGGTTTCTCTCTAGTCAGAGCAGGGTTGGAGAGAGGAGGGGTGTAGGGGGCTGCGCACACGGGGCGGTCCGACAGTGTATCGTCATTGGCATGTGAAGCATGATGATCTAGTTTGCCTCTCTCTCTGCCCTTGGGAAGTTTTTTCCTGCCTGTCGGTTCCTCTGCTTCAGGACTTCTTATGTGACTTGGAGCAGTTGAAAATGTGACGGGGGCAAAGAAGCACTTGTGGTTTTGGGCACCATGAGTAAGTAATGTACACTTTGTACTGTACTTTGAGAAGTGAACTGTGCATCTTGAAACCGGCTTCTAGGCTAACTGCTAATGACAAGCTTTGTCTATAACCGACTGAGGCTTCGGTCACTCTTGTTACACTGAGTCACTTTTTTGTCTCAAACTCGGAGAGGAGTGGTTGTGAACTTGATTCTTCTAGTGGTATTAGAAGGGTTTCAGACTTTCCCCAATTACTTTTTTCATGTGTGTAGACAATCAGCTTTTGAACACTTTGAATCACTCATTAGGTTACATCATCCTCATTGTAGCTGTGAATGTAGTAGCAGCATTCAGTTTTCAATGCTTGGCTATTGGTTTAGCTCATATACCCATATTGTGATGGTCTATTATTTGGTGTCTAAAAGTTGTGTCCATGTGATTCAGCACCATGACACACATACTCTGAAGAAGGGGGGGGGCGGGTTGTATCAGCCTATGGGACGGTTTACCCACCTCTCCATTGACCTAACTTTAATAGTGAATGGGATTAAAAAAATGAGTTTGCTCTTGGTTGTCTTATGCATATTTTTGTACAATTGAACATGACAACACCGTAGAATTGTCACACAGTACATGTTTGTAATACTTGCAGCAGTAGTTTGTGTATGCATAGGTGTTTATTACTCACATTGACATTGTGACCAACTTGACTAGAATTACTTTGAACTTTCTTGTCATGGCGTCTGTGTCTGTTGCTAATCTTAGTATGTCATGCAGCTTGTCTATAGTTCAAGTTCAGCCATATGAGAAAGTCACTGGTCAGAAGTTGTGAAGACCAACTTTTCTTGGTTGTTCATATTGTTGCAAGTATTCTATAGAAAAAGACCGTTTCTGTGTTCACTGTTTAATCACAGTTTGTAGAAGAAACCACAACTTCTTCCTTCTATTCATGATTTCCTTTTGGGGCCTTTTTTAGCCATGTCAAGATGTCGTCACTGCTTATTCCTTCCAACCTTTTTTTCCACTTTAACTGTTTGTTTTAGGCCAATGCCGAGTTTCCGTCTCGGAGAACCATGGTCATAACACAGGCCACTGTAATTTCCTCAACATTATTTTATCTTTATAGTTTAACCTAATTTGGATTCCGGTAGCTTCGCACCCAGTGATTGTGCATGTGTTTCTCTTCCAGCACAGTCAGTCATTCTGTCTGGATTAGCACACAGAGACAGAGAGCTTTGTTCACACGCATTGACATCCAGAGAGAGGCAGACGGTGCATCAACAAGGCATTTCTGTCCTGTTCCCTTCTATAGTCTGTAATTCTCTTCTGGTAGTTTTGTGGGCTGGGGACTGCTGTTGCCTAGTGGTCATCATCACATGCATCATGACTGACTCAGACCTGGTTCGTCCGTGTTAACACAGAGGTAGGGCATTGTATTTTTGTCTTGAGTTGAAGGAGCTCTTAATGGCACACAGAAATAGACGTGTGAACAGTGGGCACACAATTGGAACAGTCGAGTACATTTTAGAGTAAATTTCACATTAAAAAAGTAAACAAAAGTATTTTATATGTCATATAAAATGCATTATTTTACGCTCGTCTTGTACATGTATGTGTATATTGCTCTGATTCTTTTTCATTAATTGTGTTGATGTTTGGGAATGACTCCATAAACCAGGGCAGTTTAGAAAACATGTCCAATACAAGTTTTCATATCCGGTTAATATTAAGACAAAATGAAACCCTCTTATAATCAAACTGAAATGCATTACTACTGCATTGAGCTGCTGGAAGAAGTTTCTGGGAGTCCTGGAAAGAAAGTGTAAAAATGAACACTAGGGGGCGCCTTTGACCTCAACCAAATGTTCAGTACATTGTTCCGCACATGGTATTTATCCCCTGTGTCTTATTAACGTACTCTCTAATTTGTATTCCTCTGTTTTGCAGATGTGTGTAACAGCACTGACTTGCCGGAGCTTGAGATTATCAGTTTGTTGGAGGAACAGTTGCCGGTGTACAAGTTGAGAGCTGACACCATCTTTGGCTATGACCAAGATGACTGGATTCACACTCCACTGGTGGAACCCAGCGCTTCCCTTGACCTGACCACAGAACAAATAGAAGAGACTCTCAAATATTTCTGTAAGTACCTGAGACTTAATGTTAATAAATAATGTTAACTATAACTATATGAGTGTCTTTTAGAGTTCCTCACTATATTATTAGATATTTCTAAAGAATTTGTAACAATTCAACAAAAAAAGATTTTAGCCTGCCCCCAACATGATGCTCACTTTTTCAACCAGATTTTTATATTATCACTAATATAAAAAAATATATATATATTGTTTCACAATAAAGATAAAGACTAAAACGAGGGGGGACATGGTCTAAAATCTAAATGAATGTCTCACTTGTACTGAAACCAGGTTAGGCCATTATTGTGACTAAACCATGTGAATTCCTGAGTTGGTTTGGTTTTACTGTGACATTTTGCTAAGAAAACCAAAATCTTGTATAGTAAAAAAAAAAACAGGAATGAGGAATAATGTAATTTTAAACTACTTCCATGTTTGTAATGTTAGCTCTATGTGGTACTGTGAACGTGCTGTTGGTCTCATTGTGGACACAGCTGCAGAGGTTGCCACAACAAATACATTTGATCTATCCTAGTGTTACGCTCTCTCTATTCTTTATTGTGCATCTAGTCTGGTCTTGTCACTTTAAATGTTCTGCCTTGGATCCAGCCGGCCTGTGAAGGATCTCTGCTTGTACAGGCCTCTTAAGCAAGGTAGTGATCTATTTCCCATAATTAATTATTGAGTTTCGTTGGTTGCCATGTTATCAGATGCTGACTCAGGGTAAAACGGTGTCTAAAAATAAATGTATTGTAAAAAATAGTGACTATGCAAGAGTGTAATGTGACCTTGGTCTCCCATGTCAACACTGTCTGTGACTTTGGTCCGACCTCATCTGCCAAGTGCTCAAGACGCAACCTACACATTTATATAATAATAGTAATAATAGTAATAATAATAATAATAATAATAATAATAATAATAATAGAATGTTGTTGGTAGTACTGCACAACACACTGGAGTTATCACAGTAAATATTAATTTTCTGCTTGTAATTATTTTGTTCACATGAGCTTTATATTATTTATTCAGACTGCACAGAGAATCCCAGTGTGAAACAGGACAATGGATAATAGAGGTGTCAGCAGGTGTTCACAGTCACATGACTGTAGTGTCAGAATTGTGGTGCCACCTGTATATGAAAGCCTGATCCAGACAGGCCTAAGAAGCTAAGCAGGGCAGAGCCTGGTTACTAATGCAATGAAAGACCTTTGGGAACACCAGGTGCCAAAGTGGGAGGGCTGCGGCTGGCTTTGCCAAACTGTTGTTGTTTCCTTGGGCAAGACGCTTAACCCATTATATCTAGATACAATGAAAGTCTAGTGTGTGAGTGAATGATTAGTAATGGGGACCAACGGCGTATAGAGTGAATGAATAATGCCTTGTGAAACATGAAAAATGCTGTATAAGTAGTATGCATTATTAATTGAAAAACACAAAAAATACTGTATATATAATGCAATAGTCTTACACAAGTCTCATTATGAATTCCCACCTCTGATAGCAATTACCCCTTCTTTTAAAATGGCATCATTCTGCTAGGCTTAATTTTATAGAATTTTCAAACCGCTTGCTCGAATACTGCTTTTTTTTCCTTGTCGTGTTTGTCATTGCTTCCTGCCTTCTCATTAATGTGCCCTTCATTCTAAATGAAAATATGTGATTTATTTTTATTTTTTTCATTTTGTTCATTCATTTAGTGTTAGCCACGTCACTTCTGCCAACGCTACACAGCCAACACATCGTTTTCCAACATTTAGGATACCACAGGCCTTGAGCTAGTTACTATAGCAACCACAGAAGGGCTATGTAAGAGGAGGTAGTGCAATGCTGACAGGGAAGTCGTGGGTGGGGACGAGATGCTGATGCGATTGATGCTTGAAGAGTCTGATTGGCTGTCTTGCTTGTTTAGCTCCTCCCACTCAGCCGTGTCATCATTTCTGCTGCAAAACCCGTGACTGCTGCTACTGCTGCTTGATACAGCCTGCTCTCTAGATTTCCTCTGTGTTTTTTTTTGTAGCTGTGTGAGAGACATGGTAGCCCATGTGCGGAGCTAGGACTGCCCCAAAATGAGGATGTCACATAATGGGAAGATATTTTTCACATGGGAGCCAAGAGGATACAATGCGCACAGAGGACAAGCAAGGAGGATGCAGTGGCAAGAATGTAAACATTAGGAAACATGTATTTTTGATGAAGTTAAAGGATCTCCTGGTGACGGGAAAGATTGGATGATGGATACCTTGACAATTTGAGGAAACTGGATTTTTTTAGAAGCACAGAAGACAAAAAATGGATACGTTAGCAGATCCTCGTATTATCCCCCCCTTCTGATGTCATATTTCGCTGGTCTGCGCACAACAATATGATGACTGTTTGCTGCTAATGAGTGTGGGACATATGATGGCACTGGACCTTCACCAACAATTACCGAGGGACAGCTGGCAGTCACTTGGCATGCTGGGAAATGGGGACTAACACTACATACGGTGACCGATTTCTAAGCTCATTTGGACTTGGTATAAGGTATCAAAGTTGAGAATGCCTAGAACAAGTTGCAATCTATTCCTCCCAAAGCAGTGAGGATGAAGAGGCGAAGTCAGGCTAAGGGGCAGAAGTTTGTTAAAGCAGACTACTACGAGCTGGACTGGTACTATGAAGAGTGTGCAGATGGTAAGTCGGATTGAACATGAGTAATCCCACAGTGGGGAAACTCTTACTTACTTGCATATGATCAAAGCTGTCAATTCTTTGGTTTCATGCTCATTCTACTTATACACAATAATCTACTTAAACATTTGATAGTGACTCTAGCAAAGGCTCTTCTATCTTATCTGCATTAATCTCATTTTCAGTGACTAAGCAGTTTCACAAGCAGTCAGGAGCTGCTCTTACTCAGTGTTGTAACAGGTGCCATTCTTTGTGGTCATTCTAAAGGGGGAGAAAACGGGAGGTAGGAAACTATCTAGCATGTATGTTGCTTTCTATCATTGGAAAAGTGTGGCTTGATGTTATTTTGTAATTTGGGCACTGCAGCTCTGTCTTGGTCATCAGGGAAGTTATCGAACACCAAGAGACCTGTGTGATAAACAAGTGTCAGAGCCCCCAGAGGATTTCATAATTTACGGTTGGGCTTATATAACGGTAACGAATAGATCATAAACATAATATAAACATAACATTGCAGTGAATATTATGTAGCCAGGTTTTAAACATGCAACATTCTTCTTTAAATTGTTCCATGGACTGGAACCTAGTACGATTACTGTATGTGCTCTTGTGAGTAAGAATGAGCTCTATTGAGAAGTATATTGTGTATGCATGTAGGAGATGCTCTGTTACATAATCTCCCAGACAGCACTGAGCTCCACGACCCCAATATCCTTACTACTCAACATCTGCAGTATTATTCAACTGCCTGCTTTTGTTGTTATTTCCCATTCATGACAACATTGTGATTTAGACGTATGTTTTGTATAAGAACATAGATTGTCTGATGGGGCCAAGAATAGGGCAGTCAGCTTTGTATTATTCTTAGCTGGGAAAGAATACGGAAGTAGGTTGGTGTATATTTAGATCAATGATTTGCCTCCTGCTCTTATTCACCAATGGAGTGCTGCTGAATAACACTCTAAATGTCCATCTGCAGCATTGGTCTTATATCAAATAAAATGTATCTAAGTCAGAATATTATTAGAATAACTACTTTGACTTATTGTAGATGTTTTAAATGTCATCATCTCTACATCTAGAGATGTATACTATACTATACCATACTTTAGAAGTATGTATATGTACTGCACATGTTGAGCACTTAAGTGGAAAGAGATCAAGCTAAAACGTGACTAGAAAACACATTTTAATTGAAGGGAGACACAGGGGTGCCTGTCTCAGATTCTTTTGTGGTCTTTGTATGGGACAACTGAACAAAACCATTCATGCATGACTAATTTGGCATGGTTTTCTACACAAATAGCAGCAATTAAAAAATTTGAATGGCATTAACTGAGCTGAAAATTAGGAATGTACTGTACTGTGTTGATTGTAACAGTTACTACTGTAGGAGTTAAATGAAAAGGGGTTTACTGGTAAAAGTACTTTAATTGTGCAAATTATTGTAAAAAATGCTATTAAATCCAGAAAGAGAAAAGGATCTGGTTCTAATCTTTCTAAAGCAGAGTTGAACACAACACCCTTTCCCTAACCCCACCCTTCTAAACTGCCTATCTTCTTTACCTGTGACAGGACTGTACCATGTAGCTTAAAGAAAAGGGGTGGTATTTATGTTGTCCATATCTTTGCCATGATATAGCCAGCGGTAGTTTTATATCCTCCAAACATTACATTTAATTTGTTTGGGCCACCACAACAACAACAACCATATAAAGAGCATTCTCTATAATATGTTAAAAAGTAATGGGAACAGTCTGGAGTATCCCAACAGCTGTGAAGTGTAATTGACCCAGATTAATATTAATCTCCTTTTATTGTACATTGACCTCGATTGAGAGTACAGGGATATTGTCATTGGCTGTGTCTGCTGTTCACCCCATTAGTTTGCAGGGAAGTAATGTGAACCACTTTGAACCAACCAGAACAGGGAGGAGGAGCAAACCTGCTATTTGGTAGGCAAGTCACAAGAGACAAGCTATATACTGACAATAAACACTGGACTAGACATTAACAGAACGGATACAGCTTATTCAAATGGATTACCACTGGTCCTGGGCTTTAAACATTATATTCTCACATCATTTTTGGATATACTGTAAACTTTATGCCTTTAGGTTAGATATTGATTCAAAACACTCCTTTGTTTGCAAACAGTGCAGGTAGGAGCCATGGTGCGGCACCTGCTGCTTTTGCATATTTGTATTTGTCCTTAACAATAGTGGAGCATGGCATTGCTCAAAACTGAATGGTCTGAGAGCACAAACCAGTCTGAGGAGGATGACGAGAGCTGTATTGGTGTTCCTGTTTGTGAAAGCACCAAACTTCATGAAGAGGATGAAGAGCAAGAGGAATATTTCTGTGGGACTAGTGGTACAGGTTCAGAGCAGGACCTGGACGTGGATGAGGAACAGCAGCTTATGTTGGAAGGTCTGTCCCGTCTGCTGCGAGTCTATATGTTAAAGTGGTAGTAGTTTTTCATCAGAAACAGATTGTTATGGAGTTTTGTTGCCTTAATCTGCATCTGTCATACAGTTCAGTAATTTGTGGCTAATCACTATAAACAATGTGTTCCTGACTGTCTATAGTCTCCACTTCACTCCACTGTACCAACCACAAACAAGTCTATTATGTTGTCTTGGTTTGTGTCTGTTGTCATTAACCTTTGACAAGCTGTTGCCCAGCTGCAATGACACTAAACTAATAACTTTCCCTTTGCCTGTCAACTTAGCCGTAACATTAACAAGTCAAAGCTGTTTTAAGTTTTTATTGTAATTTGTAAAGAGTTTAAATATATTTGTAAAATCTCACAAAGGGACAAGGAACCTGCAGCCTACATGAGGTCACTTCTCCCCTCCGCTTCTGAAAAGCGAGACGAGGGGAGAGTTTGTCTTGAATTACTCACTCTGTGTAGCTCTGTGCAGAAAAGATTAGGGAAAACATCTAGATCACCTATCGCCATTATAGGGTTACAGTATAAAGCACCTGCACAATACAACTGACATTAACCATACAGAATAATGAATACAAGGCAAAAACACAGAATTAAAAACCAACATTAATTTTGATCCATTACATAAGACATTTCCATTTCAAGGCAAAACATAAACGCATATTCAAATGCTTTAGCTTTGTTGATGTGTATCGACTGATTTACCAGGAAGCATAGAGTTAACTTTATTTACCAGGAAGAAAAAATAGGCAAATGTGGCTCTTATCAAACACACCGTCTCGTCGTATTGGGCTTGTTAAATATTTACATACCCAAATCATTTACTTGCATTCTTGATAGATAATACCATTTCTTTGGTAATGGATGTGTGCCAGAATGACTATCCCCAATAAAGAAAAACGTTTTTGGATTCGGCACATCCTGTACTTTGGTGGGACTGTAGTGACAAATGCAAATGTGTAGAGCAGGGTTAAAAATGTTTACAGTAGAAGTTGGGGACTAATGTATTGTATTTGTAGTGTAGTGTGATTTATAATGTGTGATAGAAAATATGGACATTTTTATTATTGCTGTGTAATGAGTGAGTGATCTTTTAAATATGAGACTACCTGTTCGAGCCCTTACCCTACTGAAGACTTTATAATATTTTATGTTTTATTGTCTTGCAGTGCTGTGTGCAGACCGAGTGGGCCAGATGACGAAGACCTACAGTGACATTGACGCCGTCACTCGACTTCTGGAGGAGGTAAATTTATAATAATCCCTTACTCTTCAAGTTTGAGAATGGACTAGCGTCTTTAGCAAAAACTGAACTAAACTTCTATTATTGAACAAATGGCAAGTGTGTTAAGTTGTTTCTTGCCTTTATTTAACTAGAAAAAGTGTAATTTGTAGAAACTCTTATGTGAACTGACAAACTTTATGATTTTAAGTTACCAAACAACTGATGGAGATGTACTTTGAACAGATGTAGTTGCAGTTCTCTATAACTTTGAATCCACATCTTAACTGATAATTAACTTATCACCTGAGAAGATTCAGAACAATAAAATATTTTCTATCAGTCTTAATCAGGTATCAGGTAAATAAAGTATTTTGATTAAGAAACCGCAATCACATTTTGTAGCTCATATCTATAAAATATCAACTCAAAGTCTGATATACCTCTTGCTTGCTTTTCAGATAGCGAATGTTTTATTGTGCATAAAGTTACGTTGAAGATGAACTACTTTCCCTTTGTCATTGAGATTTAGATTATGAGTTGTTGTTACTAAAGTAGATTTCCATTGCAGAAAGAGCGTGACTTAGAACTCGCCGCTCGCATTGGCCAGTCGCTGCTGAAGAAAAACAAAGCCCTGAGTGAGAGGAACGAGCTGCTGGAAGAGCAAGTGGAGCACATTCGAGAGGAAGTATGAACTAAAACCTTTATACGCAGGTTTTATTATTGTCTTCCTTTACTTTAGCTGTGTCCCTTTGGTCTGCAGGTGTCTCAGCTGCGTCATGACTTGTCCATGAAAGATGAGCTGCTTCAGTTTTACACGAGCGCTGCTGAAGAGAGTGAAGGAGAGTCCACCACCTCCACACCGTAAGGCCCCCTACAGCACACTTATGTAACTGTAATTCAAGTTTAAAAAAAAGGATTTTATGAGCTACAAAGGCTGACTTCCTGGCCATAAGCTCTTTGGGGCTCTCATGAGGAAAGTTATTTTGTATGATGTTTCTTAAAGGCACACCGCGGACTTTGTGACCTAAAGAGTTGACACATATGAGTTATTTTATATGAATACTTGGGCCAATATACAGCGCTTGACACTTGCAATGCTCCGAGCGGGGCTGCCCTCTTGAAATACCGCCCATGTAAGTTTCGAGCAGACGGACCGTCTGCCACCAGGTCACGTGACTTGGAAGAAAGACTTGCTTTACGGCTACAGGCGCTGATATACTCATGGAGCTAAGGCTTTTGCTACTCATTTTTCACCTGCTCGACTCCTGGTCATGGCTGAGGCAAGGAAAAATTTTAAACCTTCGGAGGAGGCTAAAAAGAGGAAACGCGAAAGGGATCGTGCTGTAAGCTGCATGTCTGTATGAGCGCTGCTCTTCACCTGGTTCCTGGATGTCATCGACTGCAAAGATGTCATTCCACGCAGCACGAGCTAGACGCAGAACTCCCTCATCCAGGATATAGAAGTCCATGTGTGGTAGATTACTAATGCAGCGGTCTGGAGGCTGACCACAGCAGAGTCTCTCAATATCTGTAGGCATGTCTCTACAGTTTGAACACACACACCAGTGCATGCTGTCTGAATACACACTCAAAAGACACCGGCTGACTGTTTGTTGACTTTTGCGACAGTGCTGAGTTGCTTGTGGCCACTAGGGGCGCTAAACGTGAAAGTTGCAGGTCTAGCGCCCCTAGTGGCCAAGAGTTACACGGTGTGCCTTTAACAATTACCTGAGAAACGCATACTTTTACTTCAGTGCTGAAGTCTTATGATATATCGTTATATAATATTGATAGTCCTACTTTGATTGCCTTTTTCTTTTGTATTTTCTTTTTTTTATCTCTGAAATTTCAGGGCTTCAACTTTTGACTGTTTTGTGTCATATGTGTAAAATTAAATCATGATTGAAGTTGAAAAATAGATTGATAAATTAATCGTTGATCTGTCACTTGTGTGTTTGTTCGACAGTGTCCGTCCTCCTGAAACTTCCGTCTCAACACCAACAGTATTCCCCTTGGACTCACTGCAAAAGAAACTCAAGGATCTGGAGGAAGAAAACGAATCATTGCGATCTGAGGTGAGGATTGCATTTGTAAATTGATTAAATGTTAACATGGATTTACTTACTGATCTATTTTAACATTTAGGCAAGTCATCTGGAAACTGAAACCATTTGTTACGAGGAGAAGGAGCAGCAGTTGGTTAATGATTGTGTTAAGGAGCTTCGTGAGTATCTACACACTCAATAGGCTGACTTTCATTTTTTTTAAATTAACTCTTATCCTGTTATCTGTCAGGTGATGCAAACCGGCAGCTTGGGTCACTTGCTGAAGAACTGGCCAGAAAGACGGAAGATTCCAACAGGCAGCAGGAAGAAGTCACACACCTCCTGTCACAGATTGTGGACCTGCAGAAAAAAGCCAAAGGGGTACAGAATGTTTAAAATATTTAGAGATACTGTATGATATAATAGAGTAGGAGTGTGACGATATATCGATTTTTCGATATATCGCAATACTTTCTCCAGCGATCGATTATTGATATGCATTTGCCAAGTATCGACTTTGAAGAAAAGAAAAAAACAAAACAAAAATCATTTTTTTACGTATCAATACTTAATATATGGCTACATTACACATCTCCATTCCATTTATCATGAAATAAAGTGGGTTATTTTCACTTAAAATGTTTCTATTTTATGTATGCCATATATTGGCATATATTATATTGCTGGCCAATATATCAATAATCGTCATATCGTGATATAAACGTTATCGTGAGCTTTGTATTGCATATCGTATCGTGAGGTACCCTTAGGTTCCCACCCCTAATATAGAGTATGTGTCACCTGCGTCGTCATTGTGTCTATTTCAGTTCGCTGTGGAGAACGAGGAGCTGACTCAGCACTTGGGGGCAGCGAAAGACGCCCAACGCCAGCTCACTGCTGAGGTAGAGTGTATTGTCAAAATACATACATTTTTCTTAGATCTTTTATTTAAAAATACAAAACATAAGTCCCCAATGAGTCCACCCCCACTTAACGCATGAATCCCTCTATTTACAAAATATGGCTCTCTGTTGCACAGCTGCAGGAATTACAAGACAAGTATGCAGAGTGTATGGAGATGCTGCATGAAGCTCAAGAGGAACTTAAAAACTTCCGAAATAAGACTCTACCACAGAGCACGCCCAGGCGCTACCACTCTCTCGGACTCTTCCCTTTGGTAAGTAATGTGTGTTTGTGTGTGTGCGTGCGCGTTGTATTTTGTTATTGTGATATCATTCCCTTTATTGCAGGACTCTTTGGCGGCAGAGATAGAGGGAACCATGAGAAAAGAGCTTCAGAACGACGATCCAGATGTAGAAGAGCAACGGTAACATTTCACAACAACAAGTTCTCACACCCAGGCAGAAATTTTGATTTGTTTTTTAGGCCATATTTTGGGGGTTTTGATAGAAAACACCATGTTTCACTTTCTAGTGGTCGTGTGAAGCCATTAATTGTCAAATAAACTAAATGCTTTCTATTATCAAGTTATAATGACAACAGAAACTTCTGGAAAACCATGATTAAGTTTCTAACCCCTAGTTCTCAATAACAATAATTATGACGGTCTTTTGTGGTAGTTATAAAGGAGGTTCTTTATCCTCTCTGATGGTGGAGGACTTTTGTCCATTCCTCGCTGCAAAAGTCCTTCACATCGTGTCAATTCCTGGGGCATGAACTGCACATTTTAGCTCTCACAGATCGACACAAGATGACATAATTTGAAAAAAGAAAACCTGCTTATTTGACAATATTACTACGCACAATCTCTTGAGTGAAATAAAGATAATTAACAATAAACACCTGTCTCTGGGTGTGTGCACTTTCAAAGCACTACTGTATATATATTTTTGATTCTATATCAAGATCTGTCATTTTCTTGAATCACTGACTCACTGAAAATACCATGAAATTACAACCCATGAACGTGTCTTCCCTCAGGCTGCAGCCAAAGCGAGTATTTCAGACCGTGAAGAACATGAACATAATCCGTCAGCAGCGAGCTTCGCAGTCTGCGTCCCCCATGAACATCCCCGGCTCCAACCAGACGTCCAGCTTCAACTCTGGACGCTCCAGCAAAGAGGGCACCCCGCGCTGTCTCTCTGCTTTAGGCAGTGACACAGGCATTATCCTGGACAGCAACAGGACCAGCAGCTTTCTGGATCCTTCAGATAATGGGTAGATCCCTTTTACATAAATGTGTTTAAATAATGGATGGAACGTGGCTGTACAGCAGCAGAAGTGCGCTTTTTGTTTTTACTAAACTGGAGCAAACGGCATTGATGAAGGCTAGAGCAACATTTATTTAACAACTGTATAAACAACTTGTTGAACATAAAGCATTCAATCAACAAAGACAAAGACATTTTTAAACATTTAATTTTGCTTGGAAGTTGTAACTAATACTGACTGAAAAACTTATTTAAAAAGTACTTCCTCTCATCACTGTTGTTATATGACTTATGGGGTACATACACCTTATAGCGTCTGATTTGTTTTTTTAGATCAGAGGACTCAAACAGGCGCCCTGCAGGGACACCGGGAACCCCAGGGAACAAGGACCTGGAAGCAGCTCTGCGTCGCTTGTCTCTTCGGCGCGACAACTACCTCTCTGAGAAACGCTTCTTTGAGGACGAGCGGGAGAGGAAACTGTCTTATTTGGCCAAAGACGAAGAGAAGGGTGATGGAGAAGGAAGTGGAGGTCCCGGGACCCCCACGGAGAGCCTGTTCTCACTCTGCACACATCCGTCCATTGGGAGCGTCTGGTCTGGATACTCGTTCACGCCTAGATCTTACCTTCCTGAGAAGCTGCAGATTGTAAAGCCACTAGAAGGTGATTCTTTAGCACAAAGTAACAAGGTGTTAATAATAGAGAAAGAATATTCAAAATTTAATGAAAAAGGTAACAAAACCTCTCACCAGCTTCTTAACGAGAGTCATTTACAAAATACAACTTTTACAAGATGCCAACATCATTGCTATGTTATTCACAATTATAGTGACTCTAACATCTCTGTGAAAGCCCAGTTTCCCAGTCACATAAAAAGTTCTTCTAGTCTAGATTTTAGTCTCTTGCTGAAGACACAGCAACTCAAAGCTCCTCTTGCTTTAGTGGCAGAGTTGCTACAACTTTTAGAACAACCAGAAGGCACTTTAAGCCCTCAGCATTCATTCTACTTTAGAAACTCACAACCGCGCTGCTGGTTTGAACTTTGATAGTTTTGAAAAACAGTTGTTACATCAAGCACTTTATTTTTAATTTGACTACTTTTCTTTTTGTGGAAACTAACAGCAACACGATTAGCCTGGGTCTACATCATGGATCTATGCAGTTAGACTGCTCTATAGTGCCCTCTACTGTTAGACGTTTGTCACATTCTTTCCTTTTTGTTTATAATCCTACAGTTTCTGTTAAATCCTTTTCCTTTATGTAAATAAAAATCCTACTAATATCTGCTTTTCTCCTTTTCTTTTCTTTTTCCCTTTTAGCATTGTCTTTGAGCACATAGCACGTAGGTGTCTGTCTGTCTTAAACACATTAGCCCATTCACAAAAACAAATCCACAACTGATTTTTCTTTTTTTTAAGCCTTACCTGATGCATAGTGTTAAAATTACAACTATATTATATTTATCATACTTACATAAACACACACATCCAGCTTAACTACGTGAATATTAGTGGAATCTATCATCTTGAAGAAACTTAAAAATGCTTAGTCTTGGATCACACCTCTTATAGCCGTCTGTTGTGTTTGCTCCTTTTCTAAATTACATCTCCTGATTCCCTTTAGGCTCTGCTACCCTCCATGCCTGGCAGCAGCTGGCCCAGCCTCACTTGGGTGGTTTGTTGGACCAACGTCCAGGAGTGGTCACCAAGGGCTTCCGCACATTAGATCATGATCATGAGCAGGACAGCTGGCAGCTGGACCAGCCTGAGGAGGATGAAGTTTATTGTGACTCTTTTAACTTGTCCAGAGACTGTTCTGCCATGGATCTGACGCACACTACCTCTTCATCCTCTGCCTGCTGCAACCAAAATAGAGCTATTAAAGACCATTTAGAAATAATACAAGACGCCCAAGCTGTGCACACGCCTCTCTCCTCTCCGTGCTCCATGTCTTCCTCTGAAGTGAATGGACACTTGGACCTGATGGAGCTCCACGCTCTGCAGTCCGGTGCAGTGGGCCGTCAGCCTGGTGAGGGAATACCTTAGCTCGGCTCAAAACTGCACCCACCCTGCCCTCACTGTAGCCCTGCAGCATGGGGATAGAGGGGCGGGAGGGAGAGCATGTGAAAAGATTTAAGGACATCTCACCCCCTTAAAATGTGAAATCCTTTCATGACTCCATCCCAGCAGCATCCTGTGTGGTCATCGCATCCATCAAAACTGAGTACTTTTGTTTTTTTATTTTCTTGTCATTTTTCCTCTTTTTTTCTTATATCTGACTTGCCATAATACTTGCTTTGTTTAAACCAATCGTTTACAGTCTGACGAATGGAGCAAACATGCTTTAGCACTGTAACAGCATACACAAACCTGTGGACATTGAAATATCTCTGCAGAAGTTCACAGCGTGGTCACTGGAGAGTATCAGGTTTGGTTGGTGCAGCTGTCCCACTCACATGACCATGTTGCCCCAATCGCACTGGCTCAGGTTGTAGCTGACCCACTGGCTCTGCTCTCAGGTCACTTTGAAACATACGCCTTAAACATGCGCTGCATTAGAAATATGGGTGTGCTTCTGCTCTGGGTCTGTCCTGTCCCATTTCCTTTCTCATTTACAGTTTGCATTGTTGGTCTATATCGAGTGTTATAGTTAAATCCTCTGTTAACGTAAACTTTCTCTCTTGTTTTCTTCTTTTCCTTGAAGCTAATTTTCCAGGAAAGTGTATGTCCCACACAAGCTCTACATACACAGTCACCACCTGCAGGATTCTGCACCCCTCTGATCAGCTGACCTCTGTGTCACCCAGGTAAAAGAGAATATATTCATATTTATTAAATATTTTTCTAAATGTGCTTTTAAAGCCCTGCCCTATGATTAGCCCCAGTAGGTCCAGTGAGGATGAGGAGGAATTTGAGTTGTATCATATGACAGATGTAGAGCACTGAAGGCACACATTATGGTGCAAGTGGGTGAGGAAATGCATGAGAGTTCTGTCACACTGGGTGTATGCATTGTGCTGCCACTAGTGGCATTACATAACTCCTGTTTTATTATAACGAATGACCGTTTCTTTCTTAAACTAACATGGTACTACCAGCTAAGGTTAAGTTAAACTAAAACTAAACACTTTATACTGAATTATTAACTGCTCTACAACAGTTGCAGTAGCAGAGTGTGAATACTAACAAACATGACACCACATGAATGTTTACTTTCTTTCCAAAGTGTTAACACTTTTTCACCTCTTTCTTTTGCCTCTAGCCCGTCCATAGTGTCCTGTCAGAGCAGTGCTTGTCTTGGGACCCTCACCACATCCTCTGTAGCTTTTTCGTCCCCACCCACACCCTCTTATACCCCCAGCTGCACCCCACGACGTATGTCTCTGGCTGAATCCTCTACAAACCTGCGGGACTCAACCAGGACCACCAGTACCTCTTTAGGCCTGGTGCGCCTCTTACAGGAGAATGGGATCTCTGCCTCTGTGTATGACCCTCACAGCTGGGACAGAGGCATGGATTCAAGTACAGCATCCACCCCTACGACAGACACGGCACCTGTAAGACCAGAAGAAAGACCGTCCCTGAACCATCCCAGCAGTTTGCATCTCATGCTCCCCAGCACACCACCAAACTCTCCTCGTTTCTGCTCAAAATCTGTGTCTTTGTCCGGTATAAGACCCATGTTTCAGTTCAGTCCATGCCAGGAAGAACCACCGTACTGCGACATCTTCCTTGCCTCAAAACCAGCTCGTACAATTTTAAGGGAAGTCATGGGGGAGTCGGAGAGAGAGCGAGGGGCAGAGGCCGATGATGACAGCCAAATGGAGACTACAAACTTGAGACTCGTTGACAAACTCAAAAGTTTCCGCACTCTCTCTGCCCACTCTGCTTCATCTGGCAGTGCAGCATTGCTTGTCCCATTCAATTCAACTGGTTTGGCCAATAGTGCCCTGGTGGGGGGTCTGCCAGGGCTCAATGCCGGACTGAGGAGGAACCGTAGCTATCCTGCTTTGGTCGGGGCCAGTATGGCTATGAAAGATCCAGGAGGTACAGATAAAATAATGCCAAAAACATCTCAATCGACAGAATCGCAGGACGCAGGCAAAAGTCGAGAGCAGGTAGAGCCGGCCACACGCCGAAAAACTAGAACAAAACTCATACTCCAAGATTTAGTTGACAGCGAGGATGAATTCGAGGGATTTAATATTCTTCACTGATGAAATCTTGACAAGGAATGCTTTCAAGTCAAATGTTATGCATTGGTATCGTTGAACTGTTACACTGTGGTATAATTTCTAATACTGCTTAGCCGCGCAGAATATGTTGCCTTCTATTTGTCTTTTGTATTTCATTAAGGGAAATGATTGAAGGCCTGATCCAGATACAAATCATGACTTGCCTTTGTGCTCTTTCCCTTCAACATATTCTATTCGATTCTTTTTTGACAAATTTAAACACCATATTTCTACAATGTACACTAATATTTTGGATGTGTGCGTGTCAGTTCTGCATGTGTTTTTTAATTTAATAATCAATCAATTTGTTGTTTTTGAGACTATTTTATGGCAATGAAACTTATAATGAATACATACAAGAGATTAATTAATACCATGCCGTGAAACATTCCGACCACAAGATGTACATAGAGCTTTCAACTAAAGGGAAATGTGTTTGACCAACAGCGGCAGTGATAGTGGTCTGGATTGGGCCTTTAATGTGTTACTTGACTGAATGTCCTAAAGGTGCCTACATCATCTTGCTCCGTCATCACTTATTTTTATGTGCCCCCAGTGGAAATGTTATAATAATTTAGATGTATTTTTTCCTTCAACCAATCGGTCAGGTGCCAGTCCTAGCACTGTGACGTCAGAGGTTTTAGGCAATTTCCATGTTTAATCAAAAATGTTATTGTTGTTTATTGTTTTTATTTTATTGTTTTATTGTTTAAGCTTTTCGCATTTTTGACATAATTTCATTTTCTTCCACAGTATGAATTATAACGTTTTGGTTGTCTTTTTTAAAACTGTGATTTCACAGTCATGGTTTGAAGCAAACTCTAATGTGTGTGTTGCTTGTTGCAGAGTATACTGTATGGTCTCACTGATGTTGTGCTCTGGACTCAATATGACTAGATTCTAGTCTTGTTTTTGGAGCATTAAGGCTGGTGCTGCTGAAATCCTTAATGATTAAGGGAGAAACATTTTAAAATGAAATTATTCTATATTTTAATAAGTACAAGCTATTTATGTGAATGTAAGTTTTGCTGAGAATGTTGTTAAAAAGATTATTTTAAGCCTTTTCATTATGCCTATTTAAAACCTTTCTGTGGCACTAAAAGTGTCTAAAGTCCAAGATTAACTATTTGTTTGTTATGTTCCTGATTCCTGCCTATAATGTTTAATTAAAGGCATGATTAAGAAATTCCTATTTTTCCCTGACTTGTATATAATCGGAAACACAATGTTTGTCAGTAAAATCACAATTATATATTTTTGCCTGCATTGTGCAGCCCTTCTGCTGAGACATAATAAAGTTCAAAGTGCCAAGTTTGAAGCAGGCAGTGATGCGGTATATCCTTGTTCTTTGTGTGTCACTTGAATCATTTGAATGTAACTTATGAAAAGAATTCATCAATCTCGGGCCATATTTTTATTTGTGCATAATGTGCATTTGCATTTTAAATGTGCGCAGCCTTCTGAAAAAACAAAGCTTTTTTTTTTTTTTTTTTAAGAAAGCAAAAAACAAAAGTTGGGAATTATAGGATGGAAAACCTATTTTGTGCAGGGACTTAACAGATGTACTGTCAATATGAATAAAATTATAAAAACAACTGCTTTGAGTCCACTGTGTTGCCTCTGCAAAACTGTGTCGGCATTAGTGTATATATTATCTTTTTTATCTTATTCATATTGACGTTGAAAACCAATAATGTGAGAGTAAATGAAAGATTAAAACCATATGTAACTTGTGTGCTACGTACACGGAGCTCCAAACTGAATTTTCCTGATTTTTATCTCATAACATTTTGTGATTAATCGCAATATATTGCGACTTCGACTTTATTCTCATTTTATCAAGTCAAAATATTCTGTTCTATATGATACAAAAAATTTAATTCTAGACTTTAACCTCACAGAGTCTGGCAAAAAAAAAAGCAATATTGTCCATCGTAATTATTCATAAAGTGAAGACCAAGAGGCACAGTGGCTCAGTCTGGATGGGGAGAACCAAGGAGAATCCCCCTCCTTGGTTCTCCCCAGACTGGATCTGGTCCACACGGCTGGGATTGAGGATCAGTGCTTCTCTGGAAACAGATGTTTCCTTGTTAGGCTGTAAGATACTTTAAAAGTAGCTAATGCATTTTGCTATTAACTATAAACTGAGAAATGAAGTACTGTAGTGTAGGCACCATGGCTCAACCGGATTGGGCGGAGGCCATGAGTCCAGGCTGGGGTCAGGTCCATGAGGCCCATGAGTCCAGGTTGGGGAGGAGGTCCATGACACCAGGTTGGGGATGAGGTCCATGAGACCAGGCTGGGGTTCGGTCCATGAGTCTAGGCTGGGGATGAGGCCCATGAGTCCAGGCTGGGATTAGGTCCATGAGGCCAGGCTGGGATTAGCCTGAAACATTGTTGCCTGCATTGCAACATTGTTCCAAATGTAATTTCAAATTCATACCTTTTCATTTACTCACATAACTATCACAAGAGCCATGAAGAAGTGGCATACTTTCCATTCTGTTTTGTGGATTGGGGGATGATTTTGATGCAATGATGCTTAAGAATAGGCTGCTGATTGAAATGCAAGCATTTGGAAGCCTTGTAGTCTCAACATTGAAGCCTAGTTTGTCATGGTGTGGATTTTTATTTTAGTAATTTGGTTTTATTTTGACATAAGTTTGGTTTTAGTTGTACTTCCTGTCTTGTTCCCCTGTGTTGATTGTCTGCCCCGCCCTGATGTGTTTCACCTGTGTCTGTGTCTATATGTACCCAGTGCTCCTTTCCTCTTGTTGCTGGTTCATTGTATTGTCTGTCCATGTCGGTCTGTGTTTCTGGTTCTTGTTTGGATTTTTATTTGATTTTTATCATTAAACCATTTTTGTTATTCGCATTCCTGCATTTTGAGTCCTCCATCACTTCACCTCATGACATAGTTTACACACTCATATAATTATTTTACTCATTATTGAAAGTTAATAAGGTTTAAAAACTGTCTTTATGGTTCAATATTATATTACTATTCACATAGTTGGTTTTATGAGCCTGAGCCTGTAAATGTCATTAATCTGTTCATCTGTAAATAAGTAAATTCTTAAATTATATGCAGTCATGTGCAATACTGCAACTTCAGAATGTCCACTAAACAATGTCACTTTACTTTTATCTACTTATTATCTACTTATCTATTATCTACTTATTACTCTGCACTATATGCACAGTATATAATTCCGCACTACTACATATATATATATGTAGTATATATTTTTTTTTGGACTGGAATTGAAGCATTTTCAGCATCTACAGCTAGTTATGTTTGCTAAGAAACATAGCTACTACTTATTTTGTATATTGTGTGTGCTCCCTGTGTGCTCTTATTAGTTATTTAGTATACTGTCCTGTATGTGCGCTGCAACATTGAAATTTCCCCACTGTGGGACGAATAAAGGAAGTCTTATCACTTATCTTATTATTCATTTGCTTCCTCGAGGCACATTGTGGGTGTTGTTCAAAACAAATAAGAGTAAATGAATTCAGGTTTTTGTGGATGATGATTCAATAAAAAATTCAGAGGCTCAGATCCAATTGATTGTTTTAACTATTAGTTAAAGAAAACAGCTGCCTCTCATTCTAGACAGCTGAGATTATTGTAAAAGGCAACAAACATTGGTTTATGATTACACCCCCACCGGACCTCCCTTCAATAGATTTTGTCTCAGGTCTCCACCAAGTCTGAAACCAAACCTTCGCAACAAGGTATTTGATCTTGGGTTCAATTTTGAATTTTTTTAATTAAAAATATGTTTTACATAAGATTTAAACAGAAAGATCCGAGTCATTCAAATGATACAACTTTATAATTCTGCATGGATTTTTATTTTATCTTTATTTCATCTTTACATTTCAAGGCATTTCAGTTTTGTTATTGTTGTAACATAGATCTTATACAAATGTGTAGCAGAGCAGATGATATATATACATTAAAAAAAGATGAATCTTATTTGATCTGTTTACATAGTTTACTACACCTATTGTGTTTTGGTACTACTACCAATAATGACACTCCAAATGGATAAGATAAGGATAATTTAACAGATTTAATAAAGCTGTGTGATGGCGTATAAACTTGCCTATAGGTGTAGTCCATTTATTTAATCCAGCTCTGGGTTTATCAAGGCAACTCTATATATTTAAATGATAGTGGTAAATTGGAGGCAAAATAGTTTATTTGTTGGTATTTGAAATTAAAAGTCTGAGAATCACTGGTGACAAAATAATTTCTATGTGCTTGCAGTGTCAGACATCTATCGCTGAGTGGCGCTGTGTTTCAATATAGGACCTTTCTGCACCAGGTTAGTGAAAATGAAACCAAAATGATAAACTCCAGTTAACCACTGTATGTAATTTATGTTTTATTGAGGATGAAAGGTTGACTCTCATCTGTGTTGCATCCACACATACTTCATGATAAAGAGACACTTGCACATGACAAACAGCTCGTCTCGATCGGGGTCTCCATGCTCCGCGGAGGCCCCGGGCTCTTGGACGCGCAGATGAGTGGATGAGGAGCGCTGCCAGATGGACGGGCAGAGTCGAGCCCCGTGGAGCACCAGCAGCAGGTGTGCGGGGTGTTGATGGGGAAAGCGGGCAGGCTGGAGAGTTGAGTCCGGCCCAAGTAATACAATAAACAGTCAACAGAACGGAAACGACAAGGAGAGCGTTCTTGAGTCCAGACACGTGCTAATGTCAATGACCGGCTCAGTCTGACTGGCCAGACCATACGAAAAACCTGTTCAAAGAAACCTATATTGCATCATATTGGAAATAATGTACTACATATATTGTGTAATATATGCACCATCAGTACATTTCACTATATACATATATTCCATACTGTAAAATATATCTGGAAAAAGATATACTGGTATAAATTACAATATATTTCAGGTAATATATTGGTACATGTATTTTCCTTTTGCAAGTAAGAGTGGCTAAGGTATTGAGCTACTTTAGCCTATAAATGTAATGGCTCAAAGTAATCAGGAGAATATTCCACACACACATCAAACAAAGATGCACAGTGCACATTTTAAATTGGAGGGCCCATGCTCCAGTTTTACATTACCATTTTATACAGAGTTCATGGAACAATACAGAGGATTCCAGACAAATTACAACCAATGATGGATAGGTCCTTCTATCAGAAAAGTTATATTTTCACTAGTTTATTGCGTCTGTATCTTCTCACAGGCGGGACTTTCTCATTCCACCCAGGACATCTCCTCAAGGCCCTGCTTATGTAGGTGGTGGACACTCAAAGCCAAGAGATTGTTGAGCACAGATTAATTAAAAGCAACACGAGGAGGTCCACTCAAGAGCCGTGTGATCTGCTGTCGTCTCCGGGAACACATGGCACTTTGAAGTCACCCTCCAGTCGCTGACCAGAGGAGGTACTCATACTGGGAAAGCTGCTTTATATAAACATTCACACAGAGTAGATAGAAGCACAGTTGGTGCATTTACTTTAGTTTAATTGAGTTGTTTTATGCGTGTGAGAAATAAATTTGAAATTAAGATTATGGTACCAGATCATTACAAAATACTAGAAAGAAACAAATTAGAATATGGGCTTATGACTGATTATTAAAAACTAAAACCTTGGTGAGAAAACACACTTGACTCTCCTTTAGGATCTGTTTATTGTAGAAGCTAATTTTAAGAAGCCCATTGGTGCTTCTCACTTAAAACTGAGGTACCTACATTTTCATACGATTTGTCCCCACAGAAGGAGTCATGGGAAGTCAAATCTGTGAACAAATCAGACCACAACATGCACTCTTCATCTTGAATGTTTTCTTTTCCGTACTAAATAATAGTACGTACAATAGTCCCCCATAACATCCTCCTCACCCCACCCCGCCTCCTGCCTCTGCGGCCAGGATTTCCCTGAAAAAAAGAGCTTCTGCCATCTCAGTGGAACTCTCCTAGTTAATGAAATAAACAAGTCACTGTGAGTCACTATATGACACTTTGCCCGCTATTGCTGATTGGCTGAATGAGGGTGGTCCTCTCTTCTTCACAATTCTGTCTGAAAAAGCTGATATAAAAAGGTGACAAAGACCAAATTTACATGCATGTGAAAACTAGTGTTGGAACCACGGTTAGATTCTATAGCATAGTTCATTATTGAAGAAGTTAGGTACCCCAGCTTTAATCACTTCCGATTTGTTTGACGTAGTAATGTCCAGTAGTGTGTAGAATACAGTCTCTACCTCTAATTGTGTACAAAGACCGCATATAAAATCAGAAGTGTGGTTCTGTCAGGAGGAAATGGGCATCCTGCCATGAGTCCGCTCGGAGCAGAGACAGAGCAGACTGTGATCTTTGCACAGCCGGAGTCAATGTTGATCTAGGACTTCACAGATTTACCTCCAAAACACCAAATGACTGCAGACGCCTTCAGAGAATATCTTCCCAAATTTAAACTGTCAATATAATCCTCTTTCCTTGTGTGAACATACATATCGTGACTGCTAATTAAGACAAGATACTATTAATAGAAATGAGGTGAGGTCTTAGTGAGGTAATGGGACTTTCATTCATATTTTTAATTCCACTGCAGACATGAATATTGCATGATGTCCCCGCAGTATTTGTTAAGTGGACCACAAATGAATTCTCCTTGCACAAAATTGTCTTGGATCTTGGCGGAGGTTTATGGTTTGAAATCTAATTCTTATGCATCATCGACTCATTAAAATTATAGATGTTTATATTTTTCTTCCCTTTCATCCTTTTGCCTTCTGTCGCTACAGCAAATTACAGTATGCTCCACCTGCATGCTGTGATCTGCATATGGATTTAGCTGTTTTCTGGCCTAAATATCTGTTTGGTTATGGGATTACACAAGTTATTTAAATACTTAGACTCAAATGAACTTGATTGGAATGTTGTGTGCACAACCGCAATCAAATACGTACATTTTGTGGTCGCAAATTGAAAAGCCTGCCATTTTTAAAAGTTGTTAAAAGGGAGCAAAATAAAAAAATAAATAAAAAAAAACTCTTGAATTTGGGAACATATCTATCAACGGAACAAGCACGTTTTTTTGTCTTTTGTCATAGTTTTCATAATTTATAAACTGTAAAAATGAGTTCTAATCAAAAATACTTAATTCAAGCATGTAATATTGTAGTGAATATTTTATTTATACTAGAAAAAAAGTTGTACTATAGATTATAATTCTAAACAGTTTCTGAAATGTGTGGTATTTGTGTATTAAGATTAAGATTAAGAGATCC